CCAGTTTTGCATCCCAGGCATGTCTTTCTTGGGGACCTTGGAGACATCTTTGAAATGTGAACATCAAGGAGGAGGATGGCTTCCTGTCTCCCCCCTGCCTGTGGGAGTTTAGCCTAGGAACTTGCTCCAAGTTGTAATGTCCTGCTTGATGAAAACATAAGACAAGTTTTATTTTTCTTTTAGAAAAAGATAACTAACAAGTATATAATAGATTGTTTCTGCCTAGCTAGATTGGGCTTTGATGTGGAAAACTTTTTCTCTCTATTAGAATTGATATTAGTCAATAATCATTCACTGATATCTATTTCTGACATAATATTGAAAAGAGAAAGTTAATTAGGCATAATTAAAGTTTTTCTACTTTAAAGGAGCTTGATATTTTAGAAAGAACAGCAGAAGTTAAACTTTTGGAATTTAGTTTACTCCACATGGGAAAAATACAGAAATATTTATATAATGTTTTACTTTTACAAAGCATAGTCATAGATACTAAATATCCTAACCTTAAAGGTAGGATATATATATATATATATATAACATAACCCATCTCACATAAGAAAAAACTGAAATATATAGAGTATAAAATTTTAACCAAGGTCATACCATTATGAGAGCAGTAAAACCAACACTTGGTTCTCTACATCAGTGTTTCCCAACCTTCTCTCGTGATGAGAATCACCTGGTGGAGTTGTTAAAACACAGATTCCCAGATCCCAACTAAGAAGTGCTAAACTAGAATTTTTGAGAACATATAGGTAAAATTGCATACCTAACTAGTGCTCTAAGACAGATTTTATATACAGAGCACTAAGTTAGGTATACAATTTTACCTATATGTTCTCAAAAATTCTAGTTTAGCACTTCTTAGTTGGGATCCGGGAATCTGTGTTTTAACAACTCCACCAGGTGATTCTCATCACGAGAGAAGGTTGGGAAACACTGCTCTACATATCATACCAGTGCCTTTTTGGCTTAGATATGGGTGACCAAGATTCATTGCTTTAGAAAATTAGATTAGATTATCCTCCTTAGCTTTAGATATTGCAATGTCCCAGGAAATTTAGATAACACTACATTAAGAACAATGATATAAACACAAAGTTAGGAAATACCCTCAAAATCAAAATGCTGTGTATATTTTCAGAACAAATATTAAAAGATCTTCTCAAGATAATGCCTTCACATAAACCCAGTTCAAAAAGACAACATGTAGAGGAATTATACAAAAATGAGTTAATATTTTAAATTTATAACTATATTTGACATAATTGTCGATGATTCTTGCTCCTTTTAAATAAAAAAAAATCAGTAGTTATCCTTTATAAGTAGTTATCCTTTATCTATTCTTGCTCCTTTTAAATAAAAAAATCAGTAGTTATCCTTTATAAGATAGAATTACATGAAAAGGGTTTCCATTATTCCAGTAATTTGGAAATAAGGGATTCAATAAAGATTAGACTTTTCATAGAAACCAAATTTTCATACTCCCTTCTCCTTCCAGTCTGGGAATAGTTCTTCAAAAGCACGTGGATCGAGGCAAGCCCCTGAGAGAGTATGAGCTCCTATTTGAGAAGCTTTCTCCACCAGACACACACGGATGTCCTTTTCATGTTGAGCAGCCAACTGCTTTAGCCGAACAGCGGCAGATAGCCCTGCAGGGCCCGCACCAACTATTACCACGTCTGCTTCTTCTGCAAACCTCTCCATGCTCACTCCTGTGAGGAAAAAAAAAGGTGAAGCACATAGAAAGTCTCAGGTGGCTCTCTACATTTTAACAACTCCACCAGGTGATTCTCATCATGAGAGAAGGTTGGGAAACACTGCTCTAGAGAGAATCACCTGGTGGAGTTGTTAAAACACAGATTCCCGGACCCCAACTAAGAAGTGCTAAACTAGAATTTTTGAGAACATATAGGTAAAATTGCATACCTAACTTAGTGCTCTGTATATAAAATCTGTCTTAGAGCACTAGTTAAGTATACAATTTTACCTATATGTTCCCAAAAATTCTAGTTTAGCACTTCTTAGTTGGGATCCGGGAATCTGTGTTTTAACAACTCCACCAGGTGATTCTCATCATGAGAGAAGGTTGGGAAACACTGCTCTAGAGTAGGGGTGTCGAACTCAATCAGAGAAGGGGCCAAAATCTAAAATCCAGCCTAAATTGCGGGCCGAATGGTTTACTGAACAGTCATAAACTGTCATTGTGATGGAAACGCAGTGGAGTGCAGTGATGACAGCGCGGTGCGGGCCACTTTGCAAGGCCTGGCGGGATGGATTTGACACATGTGCTCTAGAGTCTAGATTCGAACATTATTATTTTCAGAAAGTGCTCCTCTCCTTTGCATGAGAAGTATACTAAGGATATTACTATATTAATTTTATGTTCTCTTACTTCTGCTTCCAGTGCATGTTTTATTTTTGCTTCCATAAATGAACTTTTGGCTTTGAGATTTATTATTATAAATTTAGCAAATATTTGTTTTTCTAAATATTAATATGTAATTGATTTTATAAATCTACATATTATTAGATATATTTACAGTACCATGAAAAATACTTCCCTCTACAAAGTGATACAAAGTATCTATAAAGTCTCAACAATTTTGCATAAGTTATTACCTACCTTCCCATCTTTTGTCCTTATCCCGGGGATAAATAGTATAGTGGGTAGTAATTCGAGGTACAACGGAAGTTGAAGTCCATCTTGTAGCACACAGAGGTAGATAATTTTTCTTAATTTTTAAGGCATGAAAGCACTGATATGCTGCACAAAAATTATAAACATTATTATTTTTCCAATTAGCTTTCCTCAGAAACAGACTGAAAAAATATATTTTAAAAATCTAGGATTGAGGATCAGAGCTGGTTTCTAGTTGATTTTCTATTAATTAGTCCTAACACCTTAAAAAAATCAGTTGATTTGCTTCCTCATCCAAAAAAGTCTGTTTTTGATAATCACTCTTAAGTTGGCAAGTAAACTATTTTTTTCTATTACAAATGCATACGAAAAATGTTTTATTGGGAATAATTTTTTAAACCTAAAATAATCCTTCACATATCCTAAATCTAAAAGAATATAAAAGTCACATAAAGATATTATAGAACTCAGTCCCAGAGTTGAAATATATCAATAGCATAATTTAAAAGAGCATTTAAGAATATTTATATTTTTATTAAAAGACATAGCAACAATCTTAAGTTTTAGTGTAGCATTACTGTAGTTTAATGTTTAGTTTTCATCTGCTTCTGAAAACTGATATCAGACAAAATTGTAAGGCTATTGCTTATACAGCTAGTGATTTTCTTGAGAATATTTGGAACTGGGTAGTCTGATATCCTCTGGGGGTTAAAAAAATCATGACCTTTACTCGTTTTCTGAAAACAAATCTGATATTTCACTTTAAAGTGTACACTTAGGCACCTTGGCATAATTTTGGTAGAGAAGTGAGCTCAAAAGTTCATTGAACTCATAACATCACCCTATCAAAGTCACACTGACAGTGCATTTGTGCTTGTCTCTTTGTTGCCAGGAGTTCTAACACTGGGCTGTGAACAGGTCAATGCTTTGAGCATCCAAGGAAAATGGAAATGGTGAATTTGGTGGAATTCTGTTAGCACTTGGCCCAAGAATGACTTCTAACTTCATCTAAATTAGGTAGTAGGGCAGAGAGCAGCATCTGACTAGTTTGATATTAAAAACAAGAACAAAAAACCCCCCACAACATATCTACACATTAAGTGTAGTAATATATGCGTGTGTAAAATGAACTTGAAACAAAATTTTTCTTAATATACATACAACGGCCAAATTTGACAGAATTCCACTTTAATGAAATGTACATAATAAGAACATCCTTGAAGTTGCAATATGTATACTTGTTGATTCCATAATCGAAAATTAACTTAAATAAGATTTTTAAAAAAATTAAGCCAGATGTGAGAGAATTCAAGATCCTATAGTGAACTTTTTGTCTTAAGTATAACAAAACAAAACACCATCCAAGTGCATCATTCTACCTTCTTCCTTTTTTTTTTTTTTTAAAGTGACAGGAGAGGCAATGTGGTATTTTCAGGAGTCATCGTGAGGGTTCTAGGGACACCCCAGAACACGACAAGCCCCCTAGAGTTAATTTGACACAACGCAGAAAAATTCCTGGCCCTCGATATAACTGGGTGACTTGGGCAGCGCCTATGAATGTTAATCACCATGGCGGCGAAGACGCAGCAACTCAGGTCAACACCCAAGGAGAAAAACTTGTGCAAACATTCTTTTACTCATTTCCAACAATGCAACAGATAAAACACCTGAGCTTTGGGATCAGGGTCCGAGGCAGAATTTTGGGACGATTCCCCGTTCCGGGGTCCACAGGGAGGGGGACCGTGTTGATAAGTTCTCCGGGCTCGTGACCTTTACCCTAGTTGTCAATCCCTCGCGTTGGGACAGCCAATTCCCGGAGGATCCCGGGGCCCACCACCAGGTGCAGGCGGCGTGACCTTTGCGCCAGGTTTGCCGCAGAAAGCCGACCAGAGGAGACCTGGGAGGAGAAGGGTGCCTGCAGTCCCCCAGCTGTGACCCCTTTTCCCCCCCTAACCACTCGACCTTTCCCTCCGGATTCCCCTCCGGAAATCCCCTCTCACCGGGGCAGGACAGCTTGGCGAGTGGCACCAACATGTTCGCTGTCATCAGGGCTGTCTGTCGCCGGACACCAGCGGAAGGAGGACTGCTGGACCTCTAGGGCGGGCGCTGGACCTCTAGGCCTCGGGGGGCGCCATTACCTGCCGGGAAGCACCAAGCCCTCTGCTGAAGTCTGCCTGCCTCTCTGCTCAGCCCACCTCTCTCTCTCTCTCTCTCTCCCCGGCTTCACGGCGTTCCCGCCTCTCTCCCGTTCTGCGCCGGCGCCATGCGTGACGCAACCGCCAGCCGGGGCTTCCGGGTCGTGTCCCGCGGCCTCTGGAGGTGGTGGTAGTGGTGGTGGTGGTGATGGTGGATGAAGTCCGTCCTGCCTTCTCCCGAGCCCCATGGTGCACCGCGCCGGCAGCCAAAGGCAGGGAGAGAGGCGAAGCGACGCGCACGGCATCCTGGGAGTTGTAGTCTTCTGCTGAAGAGCCTGGGAAGCCTGTCAGGAGCTTGGCGCTGGTACCATGCACGGCCCGCGGAGAGTCGACTGGAGTCTGATAGGCTATCCTGAAAGAATGCCGTTTTCGGTATTGGGCAGACGCCCACTGGAGGCTGGGCGGGGTTTCGGGGGAGAGGAGGCGGGGCCTCTGGGCTTAGGGCGCGATCCGTTGAAAGACGGTTGGTGTCGGTTCGGATTAGTAGTTCCGATTGGGCCGTGCCAGCAGCGCTTCTCCATGGCAGACCCCGAGGACGCGCGGGTTTCTCCGCAGCCCCCGCCACCTGCCTTCTCCCCCTCGTCTTCGGAAGCCTCTTCCCCCGGCATCCCCGGGAGTTTGGACTGGCCGGTTCGGAGCAGGAGCCCCGCGGCGGACCGGCTGGAGCAAGTGGAGCTGCAGATCGGAGATGTGAGTGGCGGGGACGGTGCCCACCCCGCGCCTGTGGCTGTGGGCCGACAGACCGTGGCGGGGTCGGGGGACCCCAACACCCAGAAAGGCGGAATCCGCCTTTAGATTTAGCTTTGAGGAACTAGGGGGGATGATGCCTCCCCTATCCCCCTCCCTCGGTCTTTTTGCCTCGCCCTCTGGTCTCCATCATCCCTGTAACCCGAAACCTCGCGCTCTGCTGCCAGGACCGGTGCTGCTGGCTCCGGCTGCCCCCTCTCTCTTCTAGCCCCTCTTCCCCCCATCGGGATCGGGCTGTGACTTCTCGCTCCGGGGGACCCAAGAGCCGCTGTTCTGCTTGGCCACCTGCCCAGAGCCAGCTGACCAGGCAGGCTATTGTCTTTCTCCAGTCTGCTTTGCGCTGGAACCAGTTTGGAGGGGTTAGTCCCCGCCCCTGTAGCCCAGATTGTTTATTTGAATGGTTCTGGGAATCAAAGGGAGGGATCTTGGACTGATTGGTTTCTGTGGAATCTCGAATTTCCAGAAACTAACGCCCATATGCGAGCGCGAACACACACACACACACACACACACACACACACACACACACACACACACCTACACCTACACCTGAAACCCTAACACATAGACATAATGGGGGAGAGGGTCACCCTTTCAGTATTTAAGGACCTCTAAGTGGGTCAAGTGGATGAAGTAGTTAGTGAATGAGGAGTGATCTTTCTGGGAGAAGTTTGTGGAATAGACCCGCCTGTGCAGATTGGACACTGGGGGATGAACTGGATTATATCAGGGCTCAAGTATCTGTGTGTTGTTTTTTTTCTTCAAAAATAATGAAATGCTGACACACAGTTTCTGTTTTTGCTGAGCAAGACTGATTTCAACTGAATATCTACAAAGGAGTGCAGATGAGTTATCTAGGAACGGTGTTATTTTGTATCAGTATTGTTTATATGAAGAAAACATTTAAGAAGTGAGTTTTCCATCAAGAGTTGGATATTTTTCTGCAGGTAGTGTTTTGATTGTGTTGATTTTATTTGTCAGCTCAGAGTATCTGCTTTTAGTTTGTAGATTTTTTTTTTTTTTTTTTTACTTTTAAAGAAAATACAATAATTTAGGCATTGGTTTTAAGCTGTTTTTAGACTACTTATAAGAGGAAGTGAAAGTTTAAAGAATAAACTTCTACTGTTTGACTTTTTTTTAAATTAATATAATTTCAGGCAGCATTTTCATTAACCAAACTGCTGGAGGCCACATCGGCAGTATCAGCTCAAGTGGACGAGCTTGCCTTGAAATGTACAGAAAACGCACGTTTCCTGAAAACATGGCGGGACCTCTTGAAAGAAGGCTACAATTCTTTGAAGCCTGACAACTGATTTAGCTGTGGAATACAACTCAGACTTCCTCACTTATGATATTTTCACTTGTATCATATGTATAGGGGAACCCCCAGTAGTTCTGTACACTCAAAATGAAATTTTTCTTTTGTGAAAGCAGAATACTGATGATATTTTTGATGCTGGCTAGTATTTGTTTCATCTTCTGACTAAACTTCCATAGAATCTTTTATGAAAGTTAATTTCGTCAGTAGACAAATATACCACAGTGTTACCAGGAGCAAACGAGGTAGAACATTATTTTATTTGATTTGCAAGAAGATGCCAAGAATGGCAGAGTAACTTTAAGGTTAGTAATGTTAGTTCCATTAGGCTAACTTCTCTAGGCCAATCCCAGCACCTAGGACAGTGTCACTCTAAAGAGTCAATCTCATCGACTTAAAGTAAAATATATATATTTTTTAATGGAGATTTGAACTTTTACTGATGACAGCTTTTTAAAATATATGCTAAATATTTTTTGCCATCTACGATGCTGTTAAAGCAATAGTAATAAGGATAAAGTATAATATAGAATAGGTATTAAAGTGTGGAATTGAAGTGTGATATCTGAAAGTATGAAATGGAATGTAACTAAATTGATAAGCACCTTTAAGTGGCCTATATGTAGAAAATAAAGTGATCTGTACCCCATATGTAAGACCGGATAGCAAGGCTCCTGGGACCCGCTGATAAGACACACTGCAGATGCCCATCTGAGCACATGAAAAGAGCAAGCCCCAGAGAAAATCAGAGACGCTGGTTCTGCTCCACAGAAGGAGGTCGTTCTCCACTTCCCCTACCTGCATCTGTCAAGCTCTGCCTGAGCCATGAGCCCTGAACCAAGAGCCGCAGACTGTGAGCCATCCCGAGAGGCCTGAACTGAAGCTGAGCCTCAGCTGCAAGATCCTCCATGAACCGTGTGTGTGTGTGTGTGTGTGTGTGTGTGTGTGTGTATGTGTGTGTGTGTGTGTGAAAATGAGGATCCCCGGGTGGCCTGCTGAGGTCTGGAACCCACCAGGACTCAGGTAAATAAATTGTGTGTGATTCCTGCATTGTATGTTTAAGTACCTTGGGTTGTACGTGTCAGATTACTGCTGAGGCACCCTAGGTCACCTGTGCATATGTCCTTTATGGAATAATTGGGACAGATGCTTTTTAAAAAAGCTTTTACTTCAGAAAATGAAAGCATGTATAGAAAGAATGCATATATCCCCCCATATTTTTTCTAAGATTAACTGCTTCTAGAGATATTTCTTGCATTCCATGTTGTTAGGTCTTTGATTGTTCTCTCTAAAGTGCCTTATCACAATTCTGGCTCTGTGCTATTACTTTTGTTAAGTAATAATTCTGAATTCTAAATATAATAATTTTAAAGAAGTTACTTTGTTTTTAAAGCATCAAATTTAAATGATGTGATTATTTTCACTTATTTTACTTTATTGACAATGTTCTATTTTACTTGTCCTGTAGTTTATGTTGCTTTTCTCTCTCTAGTGGTTTGTATCATATGCCAATGAATAAGTGCACTAATTCTCTACTGTATAACTCTGGACATCTTTGATATAGCATCTTATTCTTTGTAGTTATGGAGATATGTACAAAACTGAATTTTAAAACTCCACAATGGAGTTATGAAAGGGGACAAATGGATGGGCAAATAGTTTTGTTTAGCATATTAAGTCATAGTGCTTGATCAGTTTTTTAAAGTTAACACATGGTACATACCTGTACCATAGAGATGTTTATTTTGATATTAGAAAGTATTTTTTTTATGTATCATGAAAATTCAAATTAAAATGTACAAAAATAAATTTGTTAAAAGCAAATTTCCATTTCCTTGGGTTCATTACTCTAAAATTTTTTGTTGAAATATTTTCAAACATAACAGGAAAGGTGAATGATTTCATGAACACCAATGCATTTCCACCATACAGATTTAATAAATGTTAACATTTGGCTATATTTTCTTCGATATATGTATGCAAGTATAGAAGTTACTGTATTTGGAGAGGTGGAAGGATGGAAGAGTGAGTGAATTAAACAGACAGGAAACCAAATGGCTTCTAAAATATTCTGAAAATATTTTAAATGTTAACAGGTAGTTCCAGATGTATATTTTTATAACTCACAGCAATTCAAAGACCCTTAATCCTAACACAACTAAGATTCACAATCATAATTTTCGTAGGAATACATTTTATTATGTCTTCATGATTACTGTTTTTTTATTCTTTTCTAGATATTCTTTTTAAGAAAAATGATTTTCCATTCCATCCTACTATATAAAAACCCAGAGTCGGTAATGACCGACAGAAGGCTCCATCAAACACTGGAAGTTAGTCCGTGGCGACCCAGGACTGACTGCCACCAGTGTAGGTGCAGTGACCCAGCACTGAATGCTGAGAGGGCTGTGGATCAGACCCAGAGAGAGGCCCAAAGAGTGAGGCAGGGTCTGATCTGCAACCTGGCAGCTGTTGATCAGCTGTGGCCTCTCTCTTTCTCTCTGGGCTTTGCCAGCAGCCGTGCCTCTGTTTCTCTCGGGCCTCTGTAGGGGCTATTGATTAGCCCCACTTCTCTGATCAGGCCCAGAGATGGGCTTGGAGAAACCTCCCAATCAGAACCAAATTGGTAGGGGAGGGCAGTTGGGGGTGAGATCAAGTCTGCAGGGGAGAGCAGTTGGGGGTGAAATCAGGTCAGCAGGCAGAGGGGTTAGGGGTGATCAGGCAGGCAGGCAGGTGAGTGGTTAAGGAGCACCTGTTCCCAGATTGTGAGAGGGATGTCTGCCAGTTTAGGCCTGATAACTGGCAATCAGACATCCCCCAAGGGTTCCCTGATTGGAGAGGGTGCAGGCTGGGTTGAGGGAACCCCCACTCTGTGCATGAATTTCATGCACCGGGCCACTAGTTATTTAATAATAGTAATACTTTAGTCCTGGCCAAATAGTTCAGTTCTTTAGACTGTCTTGATATATCAAGGTTGCAGGTTTAATCCAAGTCAGGGTACATACAAGCATAAACCAACGAATGCATAAGTAAGTAGAACAACAAATCAATAAAAATAAAAAATAAAATTATCAAGTGTTAAAATTAAAATAGTAAAATTTAATAAATAATCCAAACAAATAAATGTATTTGTACTTTTGTAAGCGTTTAAAAAATAGTATAATCTAAGTAGAGAACTTAATATTATAAGCAGAATTATAGCTTTCTATTTGATTTTTATTAAAAGTACATCACATTCCTCATGCAGAAAAACTGGAACCATTTTAAGTGAGAACAGAAAGGACTCAAAGCAATCCATATTTTTAATAGAGTTAATTTTCAGGTAATTTATTTTCAAAATAAACCTATACTATTATATACTCAATAAATATGTTTTGAGTCCATTATTTTCACGTTTCAAACATTTTTGTTATAGTTAAAACTACTTGAAAACATTTTTTTAAAGGTTTTAAATTCTGAAAGCATAAGATTCCTATAGCTCAGAGACCAGAATAATTAACTAGCAAAAAAGTAGTATTTTATGATCTGGTTGGCTGTGCAGACAGAAGGTGAATTCATCTCTTGATGACAAACTTTAGACCAAAACATGTACATAGATTTTTTTATTCCTGAAGTTAAGTTCCTGACTGTACATTCTAACTCTTCTTTTCCTTTTAACTGCTTTATTGAGATATAATTCATGTACCATAAAATTCACCAATCTGAAGTATATAATTCAGTGGCTTTTAGTATAATCACAGTTATTTATCCATCATCATAATCAATTTTAGAACTTTTTCTTTTGCCCAAAAAAAGATATTCTCCACTTCTTAGGCACCCACTCCCAACCCTCCCACCCCCAGTAAACTAATCTTTCTGTCTCTATGACTTCACTTATTCCAATATTTTATGCAAGTGGAATCATACAGTACCTGTCCTTATTGGCTGGCTTATTTCACATTCATCATGTAGCATATGTCAGAACTTAATTTCTTTTTATGGCTGAAAAAATATCCCATTGTATGTATAAACTACATTTTGTTTATCTGTTCATCAGTGGATAGGCACTTGGATTGCTTCTATTATTTTGACTACTGTTTATAATGCTGCAAAGAGCACTTGCATGCAAGTATCTGAGTCCTGTTTTCAACTCTTCAGTTCATACCAAGGACTGAAATTGCTGGAGCATATGGTGATTGTATAATAAGCTTTTGAGGACCCACTGACCTGTTTTCTATGGCAGCTGCACCATTTTACATTCCAACCAGCAACGTGGAAGGAGTTTCAATCTTCATATCCTTGCCAACATGTTATTTTTTAAAATTATAGTCCTCGTAGTAGGTGTGATGTGTTAGCTTATTGTGGTTTGGATTTGCATTTTCCTAATGATTAATGATGTTGAGCATCTTTTCATGTGCTTATTGGCCATGAGTATACTTTCTTTGGAGAAATCTCTGTTCAAATCCTTAGCCTGTTTTTTGATTGAGCTGCTGACTTTTTTGCTTAGTTGTAGGAGTTCTTTAAATATTTTGAATATTAACCCCCCCCCTCAGATATGTGATTTCTAAATATTTTCTTTTATTGCATAGGTTGTCTTTTCACTTTTTTTTTTAGAATGTCCTATGATATACAAATTTTTAAATTTAGAAATCTAATTTATTTTTTTCCTTTTGCTGCTATACTTTTATTGTCATATCTGAGAATGTTACCAAGTCAAAGGTCTTGAAGATTTACCCCAATTTTCTTTTTCCTAAGAGTTTTATGTCTTATATTTTGATTTTTGATTCATGTTGAGTTAATTTTTGTATATGGTGTAAGGAAGGGGTCCAACTTCATTCTTTTGCTTATGAATGGTACCTACCTGCATCATGTGTTGAAAAGACTTCTTCATTTGATTATTTTGGCTGAAAATCAATTGACTGTAAATGTGAGAGTTTTATTTTTAGACACTCCTATTCTACTGATCTATATGTCTAGCCTTATCCTACTTTTTCTGGTTCACTCTTTAGCAATACTTTCACTCTCATTTTCCAAACATATATGATGGTTTTAAAAGCAAAAAGACATTTGTGCAGAGAAGTGCTGTTTTGGGTTAATATAAGAACATTTTTTCCATAGTCATAAATACATTATATTGGCTCTAAAGTGTATGAAGACTTAAAGAAAGTTAAGATGAATTCTTAAAACAGAATATCTGTAAGTTGCAAACAATCAGACATTTTCTCTGATGCTATTATACTGAGTATTAAACCCTTATTTGAAAGTGTCCATGATATGCATGACAGATAAAGCTCTACCTTAACATAGGAGCTGCAGATGCCCTATATATATTCTGTTGTAAACAAAATTTAACATTGAACATTGAGAAGGTTCTATACGGTCTACTTCCAGGAATTTACTGCAGTGCCATGCATATAGTGTGTACACAAGAAATGCAAAAAGAATGAATGGCCCGACTGGTGTGGCTCAGTGGTTGAGTGTCAACCCAGGAACCAAGAGGTCATCAGTTCAATTCCCAATCAGGGCACATGCCCGGATGGTGCGTTTGATCCCCAGTGTGGGCTTGTGCAAGAGGCAGCCAATTGATTATATCCCTCTCTCATTGATGTTTCTACCTCTCCATTCCTCTTTCTCTCTCTCTCTCTCTCTCTCTCTCTCTCTCAAAAAAAAAAAATAATAATAATAAAACATATTTTTAAAAAAAGAATCTTTCTGAAGTAGATTTTCTTAAATTTTCTATATAAAACATGTGCTAGTATATACACATTATCAAAATAATTTATTTCCCTCATTTATCTTAGCCATTAATGTAAATTATTAATTTTGTGGCATTCATTTTATACTAATAAATCCATTTTGAAGCATCCCAACGGGGGTCAGAGTCAGTTATGAATAGGAATTGAGTCTGGTTGATTGAGAAATTAGGGACAATTCATAGGGGTCTGTGAAAAGAGCTGGCTTCATTAATCTAGGGGGCACCTCCTGCAGCGGCCACATTTCTATCCACATAAGTGATGGAGTATGTGTTTGCCGACTTCTTTTGCTGCCAATTGATCTCTGTGTGTAGTTATTCCAAAACTGATGTATCATTTCTTTGAATGGTCTTGTAGTCAGAGTATAGAGAATTGGGTTCAAAGCACTGTTGATAGGCAGAATAAAAATCACTACCCAAGAGTTTATGGTACCTGGAAGAGAAAAATGACATAGTTTAGTATTTATGGATGTTTTCAAGTTATAGAAACCCCTTTCCCTTCTTTGTACCTCAGCCTCTTTCAAGTGTTTATTTTTCCATTTGGATGTCTCATAATTAAATACAAAGTCTATATGTGATTCCAGGATATCTTTCCAGGGTACCAGTGTTCAAGGGGAGTGTTTGTGCTACAGAAAAACCAGGGTTCATTGCTAAATAGCTTTTCTTGAATATACCAGAAAAATATTCTATAAGGTAGAAATATTTTCCATCAAATGACTATATATTATTAAAATATGATTTCATTTAATATTCTGATTCAGGCTTTTTAGCATTACTCACATAAAGATTATTTTTAATTCTTTTTTTTTTTTTTTAAATCTTCCATAGCCCTAACCGGTTTGGCTCAGTGAATAGAGCGTTGGCCTGCGGACTGAAAGGTCCCAGGTTTGATTCCGGTCTAGGGCATGTACCTTGGTTGCGGGCACATCCCCAGTTGGGGGTGTGCAGGAGGCAGCTGATCGATGTTTCTCTCTCATTGATGTTTCTAACACTCTATCCCTCTCCCTTCCTCTCTGTAAAAAATCAATAAAATATTTTTTAAAAATAAAAAATCTTCAATTGATATTTTTCCATTGATTATTAGAAAAAGTGGAAGAGAGAGGGAAAGTCAGAGAGAAATATCAATGTGAGAGAAACAAAAAACTATTGTTTGGTATTAAATCATGCCTTTTAAAATATTTTAATTATTAGTATATATAATATTGCTCAGAACATATATTTAATAAATTTCTTTTTAACTATTTATTTGGTTCTTAAAAATAGGTATGCATTTTTACACTTTTCACTATTTCAGTAAAAACATCTTTGACTAACCTTATTTTCGAAAATTACTATATTATGTATGCATCTACTAAATTCTCAGATTTTTATTAGAATTTAGTTAATGCTGTCTTTCTTCTTCATTGCTTATAAAATGTCAGATATATTACCACAAACCATGGGATAAAACAAAATTAAAAATGTATGTTTATAAATTTTTAACAATGTGAATGTATTCTGTACTGTACATATAGTTAACAGGACTTTGCACATTTCTAAAACTGTAAAATAGACTTAACATAAAATTTACAATTTTAATCATTTTTAAGTATATAAGCACATTTCACATTATTATGCACCATAACCACTATGCATCTCCAAAATGTCTTTAGCTTGCCAAGATGAAACTTTGTACCTATTAATAACTCCACATCCCCTTCTCCTCCCAACCCTTAACAATACCATTAGCAACCTTTCTGACTCTATGAATTTGACTACTCTAGTTACCTCCTAGATGTAGAATCATATAATATTTGTCCTTTTGTGATTGGCTCACTTCACTTAGCATAATGTTTTCAAGGTCCATCCATGTTGTAGCATGTATCATCCTTTCCTTCTTCTGTACGTCTGAATAATATTGCATTTTGTGTGTGTAACACATTTTGTTCATTCATTCATTCATTGATGGACCCTGGGTTGTTTCCACCTATGGTGATTATGAATGCTGCTGCTCTGAACATGGGTGTATGAATGTCTGAGTTACTTCTTTTAACTCTTTTGGACAATAACCATTAGTGGAATTGCTCAGAAATATGGTAATTGTATGCTTAATTTCTTGAGAAACCATCACAGTGCTTTCTATAGCAGTGGTGCCATTTTCCATTCCTATCAGCAAAGCATAAGAGTGCCACTTTCTCCACATCCTCACCAATACTTGCTATTTTTGAAATGATAGTCATCTTAATGAGTGTGATATACATTATTTTTAAATGTCAAGAGTGTTTTCTTCTCTCACCTCTCATACTCTGGGGTATCATACTTTGAATTGCTATGCATTCAGGGAAGAAAAATGTCTTACCTTCTGAAATAAATAATTATTTGATCATTGTTTTCATCTATGTTCCTTTCTGGTCATCTTAAGCATGGGATTACCAGAATTTCACTACATTGAGTATAGTTTATTTGAGTAATTGTTCCTTTGTCCCAACAGTAATTGTGGTTTTAGGTATTTATGGAAATAAGTGAACAGCTTCTTCCCAGAGAACATTTTATTTGAGAAGAGAACATGAAGTACATATAACTGACTTACATTTCTTGAAACAAGTTAGTGTTAAGGATTTTAGTTTTCTTTCCTAGAGGTATACTGCAGAAACAGATACATTATTTTTGTTTTTATATAAAGAAGAAAAAAGTAGTACCTGGTATTTCTATTTGAAGCAATGAAAGAAATTTCAGTACAAAAATGGGTATCCAGCACAATGCATCAGTAAATACAATAAAGAAAAACCGTTTGGCAAGAGTCATCTCTTTTTTAACTTGATTCCGTATTTCACTTGCTGTTAGAGCACTTTGATGAACGCTGTAAAACATGCTTCCATAGGAAAAAACTACGATGATAAATGCCACCAAGTTAACACCTATTTAGGACACAAAAATTATTGTTCATGTATATAAATATTCTTTCAAAACAAACAAACAAAACATACTCTTAGCTGTTGTTAAGAAACAAAGACCAATATTTTTTTTTTTGTACTTCATAATTGCTTGGGTATATAGAAATCATGAATTTTTAAGATTTTAAAGTATTTTGGAAGTAATGAGGAAGAATGAAATGTTTAATTTTGAAATGGCATATTAAAATGAGATTATAGTGATTCAATGAATATATGGGGCCTATTATATTAAACTAACCTTTCTAGTATTATTTTTGTAATAATTCAATTATTTTATTATATTCTGAAAAGAAAATGACAAGAGAAAACACTTGTATGTGTACTCACGCCAAAAACTTGTCTGGCTACTTTGAATTTGTTCATAGTATAAAGGCAAAGAGTTAAAATATATTTTGCTTAGTATTGTTAGGGTGATTGCATAATATACAAGTGTTTAGTGTCTTGTCTTTTATTAAGGTGCATCATGTTGGAATTTATATGATAAAAGGAAAATTTTAAAAATCCCTTTAGGCTATTCTGATAGAATTCACCACCAATGTGAATGAGAAAAACTGGTTAGAAGATCTCATATAAAATTTTTGTAAACATTAGAAGGTATAACAAGGTTCACGTTGTGATTTATTGCAACCTTTGTGTGAAAAGGCTCATAATACAGAATTTCTTACCAAGAAAAATTGTCACTGAATAAATCTGGGCTCCAATACTTTCTGTGTCTTCCGAATGGAGAGGGAAACATACTCCATTGTTGCCATAGTAATTTTTGAAAAATTCCTTATTGCTCAATGGCACAAAAGCCACTATAACCCCAATAATCCAAATGAGAATCAACATTGTAATTGTTCTGCATTTTCTAGGTCTCAAAAATTGAAAGGGATACACAATGCAGATGTATTTTTCCACTGTCAGAAATGTTAAAAGTAATACTGATACTTCCGTAGAGAGGATGGCCAAAGACCCCGTAAGCTGACAATGAAAACTCTCTATCCACATCTGCGCATGCTTATTGTATTCTCCACGAAACTTTAGGTCAAAGGCTCCAATCACAAATAAGTATATCCCCATCAGGCAGTCAGCACCTATAGGGATCAGTAAATGTCACAAATTTAGAGAAATAAATAGGTATAATAGACTTATCAATAAGCATTGATATTTGAGTATATGTAATATTATATATTCATAACATATCTAATATTTTAGCAAAAATAATAAACTAGTCAAGTTTCTTCCATCTTGGGGCAGCAAATTTTTATTCTAACAATTCATTTATGGGTAAGAGCCTCTTCAACTCTCTTTGATAACCACATTTATAATATCCTTTACAACTAAAAAGTAATAATTTCTCTGTTCTCCTAGAACATGTATGTCTGTGTGAGCAGGGATCTTGTCTGTTCATGTTTTTCATTCTAGCTCCATCACCCCAGAAGTGTTGAATAAATGAATAAAATGCAATTATATTGAGCATTGGATTAGGGACCAAGATGGGGATGTTATTACTTGGTTCACCTCTTCCACTGAAATTCTCTCAGCTTAATAACCAAAAGATATCATCCAAAATCCCAGAGAGAATAATTCAGAAGTTGCTGTGCGAGTTAATGATTCTGAATTTTGAGGCCCATAATTTAGAATACAAATAATTCTGACGTGCTTTACAGTCAGTACAATTTCAGGGGGCTTACATTGTTTACCCAGAGCTAGCCTAAGCAGGCCTGTTCTCTCAAGTTCTGTTCCCCCCCCCCCTTTTTTTTTAACCTTTCTCTGTCTCATTTTAGGCCCTACTTGGTATATTTGCTTTTTAAGCAAACATTACATATCTGAAAGTAGATAAGATTTTTTTTCTCTTTATTTTAAATTTTTTTTGACTGCACAAGTAGTCTACACAAAGTTCCTAAAATCACATCTGTGTATAAATCATAAGGCTGACCCTAATCCTTAAATACTGAAATTACATTCTGGCCTTCACCAAGGAAGTTGAGAGTCCTCAAAATTTTATAACAATACAAAATTTTATAACTACCAATACAAAATAATTGCTTAGGTAGCTTGCAATGAAAAAACCCCTCACACAATTGAACATTAGACTTTGAATGAAGATAGGATTAAGACATGGGACAGCACACAGTATGTAGATTGATGCTTGCTTGAGGGAATATAGGTAAATTATAGACCACGTTACTTACACTATGAACATCCTGATGGCTAGTTTCATGCTCATTTTTCTTTGTAGCCCTCATTTAACATAATAGCTTGCGATCACATTTCAAAAACTTTTAAATATTTTATATGAACTAAAAACATTTTCTTTAGATATTTCAAATTATGACTGCAAAAGATTCTAGGATCTCAGAGTCCAGAAAAACAACTAAGTCAATATTCATGAATTGGACATTCAAACAAAAAGATAAATATAGCTTTAGATATAAAAATATGACCATGAAAGGTTTTATTCATAGTAAAAGATTTACAAGCTTTAATAATATATTATGCCTCGCCGGGACCGGTTGGGCTCAATGGATAGAGCATCGGCTTGGGGACTGAGGGGTCCCAGGTTCGATTCCGGTCAGGGGCATGTACCTTGGTTGCGGGCAGATCCCCAGTAAGGGGTGTGCAAGAGGCAGCTGATCGATGACTCTCTCTCATCGATGTTTCTAACTCTCTATCTCTCTCCCTTCCTCTCTGTATAAAATCAATAAAATATATTAAAAAATATATATATATATTATGCCTCCAGGGAAGAAAACTATTGTAATAAATAAGAGGTTGTTTATGTGGCAAAGTAATAAATGAGAACTTCATTAATCTGTGTAAAGTGATTGAGTTTTCGTCTTTTAAAACTTATTTTCATATTCACCAATGATACATCAATAAAGGGGTTAATCTCCACAATATGTAAAGAACTTATACACAATTCAACACCATGAAGACAAACAATCCAATTAAAAAACGGGCAAAGGTCATGAATAGAAACTTTTCCAAAGACGACATACAGATGGCCAATAGACATGAAGAAAAAATGCTCAAGGTCCCTAATCATAGAGTGATAAAAAATTAAAACCATAATGAAATATCACCTCACACCTGTTAGAACGGCTACCATCAATAAATCAACAAATGACAAGTGCTGGCAAGGGTGTGGGGAAAAGGGAACCCTCGTGCCCTGCTGGTGGGAATGCAGACTGGTGTAGCCACTGTAGAAAACAGTATGGTGTTTCCTCAAAAAATTAAAAATGGAACCGCCTTTTGACCCAATGATCCCATTTCTGGAAATATATCCTAAGAATCCCAATTTTAAAGAATATATGCACCCCTAAGTTCATAGCAGTGCAATTTACAATAGTTAAGATCTGGAAACAGCCCAAGTGCCCATCAGAAGATGAGTGGATAAAAAAGCTATGGTACATTTACATAATGGGATATTACATGGCTGTTAGAAAGAAGGAAATCTTCCCTTTTGCAACACCATGGAGGTACCTGGAGATTATTACTTATAAGTGAAATAAGCCTGCCAGAGAAAGACAAATACCATATGATCTCACTTACATGTGGAATCTAATGAACAAAATAAACTGATGAACAAAATAGAACCAGAGGCATGAATGCAGGGAACAGACTGACAGCTGTCAGAAGGGAGGAGGGGAAGGGAGACTGGAAAAATAAAATAAAACTTATTTTCTTTCTCATCACTAAAGAAATTTTATTTCCATTATAGTGAATGTGAAAACAATATATAAGCAAAAAGGAGAAAAATTTAAAATCTCCTAATTCTGTCTGTCCCTGTTTACTAAATTTTGAATAGCAATGCTTTTCTATATTTTGAAACTAGAATTCCTTTTCAGTCAGGAAATACTCACAGCAGAGAGATATGATTGACATGGCATGCGGCTTGTTCTCAGACCTGATATAAGGTCGCATACAAATGACAAAGATGTTTCCCAAGAATGTAACTGTAGACACAACCCAGACGAACACTCTCTGAATGATGCTTGCCAAGAGATTCTCTAGAGATGAGATTCCATCAGTGTTTGGTTTACAGCTGCGAACGTGTGGTGCATATCCACAGTACTGGAATTTCTTAAAATAGCTGGTGTGCAAAGAGGGAGTTAAAATAAGATTTTAAATTTAATTCGGCCTTACTATTCATGAATATGTATTTCCTACATTTTCTCAGTAGAAAGAAAATGTCTTACTAATGAGACTCAGGGGATTGTAAAACATTAGGAATACTGAAGCTCTAAATCTAAGTTTAATTCTCATTAACTTGATTTTTACTGTAAAAGAATATGTGGGTGAGAGCAGCAAGTAGGCATAATGAATATCCAAATGCTAGCCACGTCTTAGAATATAAATAAACTGTAGCATGTGATCAAGAGAACCCATCAATGAAACTAGTTTGGGTTTTTAGTGTTTGGTATATTGTTGCTGCCACTGATCTTGCTTTTGAACCCTCAGGGGAAGGGAGAGTTAAGCGCTCTCTACTCTGTGCTTCCATGGTTATTGTTTAGGCAACTTAGTCACTAGGAAATGTTAACAGATTGGATGGATTGGGGGTATGGATGCATTAGCCCAATACATGTGGGAACATAAAATATTAAAATCAAGGTGAAGAACAAGAAAAACATCTGCTTACATGTGAGAGAGATTCATAAGCGGTCTGAACATCCTTTGTTGGATATTTGAAATTTCAATTCCTTCTAGACTGCTGAAAATATCAAATTCATGATATAAATAACATGTTATTTAGGGTAAAATAAAATGAGGTTTTGCAAAAGACAATTTTATTTATTTATTTACTTATTTATTTTTGCAAAAGACAATTTAATAAAATGCTGTTAGTTAACATATACTCTAAACCAAACATTCAAACTCAGCCTGCTTTAGGCACTTACTCAACCCCTTTTTGATTCTGTTATTCACACATACTCATATATTTATCCCTTATTTGAATTTTTTTGTATGCTCATAGATCATGGCATAATGCTTTGTGATAATAACCATTCAATAAATGTTTGCAGAATAAATGAACAAGCATTATCTTTTAGACAATATTAAAATGGCAGAGGAGTTTTATATTTTTGAAAAATTTCTAATAACTTTAAAATATTTTTTTCTAAAAAAAAAGTCACTTTGCTAAGGGAACACTTAAATGAACTGAAGCTTATCTTTTAAGGCAATTCTTAGAACCTATCAGAATATGTTTTTATGGTACAAGTGATGATTTATGTAATCTAGAATATTCTCTCTTGGAATAAAGATGGGCATATAAATCCTAGAACTCCAGTGCTAATGGAGGAATGAATATGCATAGATGCCTTCAGAGGTTTGAAGCAATCAATCCAATATAAGCTACTGGTGATTATAGAAAAATTTGAAATGATTCATCATTATCTAATTTTTAGTTTACCAATATATAAGATAAAACTAATAGTTATCTGTTTATAGTCCAGTCATCATATATGTTTTTATGGAGCTTAACTAATATCCTGGGGATAAAGCTTCTGATTTGAAAGATTCTATAAATCTTATTTCATAGAATTTATTAGCTATTAGTATACAAATAACTATTTTATCATAAAACATCCCCATAAGCATATACTTACAGAGACTTGAGTTTGACAAGAGAATCAAATTGATTTGCATGAATTTTCTTGATTGGGTTATAGGAAAGATTCCTGTGTTTTAAAAAAGGCAGCAATAAGTTATTTCTATAAACTGATTGAGGAGAGATAAAGTATATCTGCTAACTTTGGGTTACTTTTAAACATTAACAAAAAAAGTACCGTAAGAGCACGTGCCTCATAGCATACATTAGCATTTAAATGAATTAATGAAGATAAAACAGTTCCTGGCTCTTAGGAAGTACTCTATAATTGTATAAGTGATCTATCTATCTATCTATCTATCTATCTATCTATCTATCATCTATCTATCTAGGATGAGAGAAAGAGAATGAGAGAAAGAGTGAGAGAGAGAGAGAGAGAACGAACTAAGACATCACCATGGAGGTGAAATTGTTAAGAAATAGCTCCCTCCAGAAACATTGTAGGGTACCCAGGGAGGAGCTACACCTACTTCACATCTTGCCTAGGATCAGGTGTGGTTTAAATGATAGAAAAATCTAGACAGGGAAGCATGGCACAAACTGACAAATTTCAGAGAAAAGGTGGGGGTGGGGTGGGTGGGTTGGGAGAGATTAACCTGGGGAATTTATATACATATATTCATAGCCTTTGGACATAGACAATAGAGTGGTGAAGGCTGGTGGATGTGTAGGGTTGGGGAGGTGGGGGGAGTCAATGGGAAGAACAAACAAAGTGGACTAGAATAATTTCAATTATAAAGGTAAATTTTTAAAAATTTGAATTCATAGAATCACATTGAGAATTTTTTACATAAATTATATGTCAAAGAGTGGTATGTAGCACTAGCAATTTGTGAGGCATAATTAAAAGTAAAAGGCTCTAGCTAGGAATAAAAGGTAAATCAAATAGTACAGCAGAATTTGAATGAATCTTTGTAAAAAGCACCTTGAAACAAGAAGCATTGATTAAAAGGAGTTTCTCAGGGCAAGTTCTCTTTTGAAGACATTTATTCTAGATTAGACCATTAGTCAGGTGGGGGTGGGGAAGAGGGGTGTCCCTGGGGGAGAGGTGGTGATTACAGAAAGAAGGAAAGAGGAAGAATTACATTGAAAAATTAATTGTACATATAAAAAAACAAATAAAAGTGGACTCAATAGTTTAGGAATTGAAAGAAACCATCTTAACATAATGAAGGTCATATATGAAAGTCCACAGCCAATGTAATAGTCAGTAGTGAAAGGCTGAACGTTTTTTCTCTAAAATCAGTAATGAGACAAGGATGTTCATGTTTATCACTTCTTTTCAACATTGTACTGAAAGTCCTAGCCAGAGCAACTAGGCAATAAAAAGAAATAAAGAAGCACCCAGATTAGAAAGGAAGAAGGAAAATGACCTCTGTTTACAGATGAAATGATCTTACATGTAGAAAGCCCTAAAGATTTCATACACACACACAAAAAACACCTGTTAAACTAATAGACACATTCAGCAAAGTTCCCAAGTACAAAACCAAATGTATTTATGTATACTGATAATAAACAATCCAAAATAAAATAGGAAAAAAATTCCACTTGTAATAGCATCAAAGGATAAAATACTTAGGAGAAAATTCACTAAATAGATGAAAGGATTATATTTTGAAAACAAAATGTTGCTGGAAGAAATTAGAGAGGACATCAATAAATTCTATGCTTATGAATTGGAAGACTTCCTATTATTAAGATGTTACCCAAAGTAATCTACAGATTTAGTGCGATTTCTATCAAAATCCCAATATAGATTGCAGAAAAAAAAATTATCTTAAAGTTCATGTGGAATCTCAAGGGAGCCCGAATAGCCAAAATAATCTTGAAAAAGAAGGACAAAGTTGGAGGTCTCACACTTCCTGATTTCAAAATCTACTACAAAAATACAGTAATCAAACCATGTGGTACTGGCATAAAGATAGATATACTGGGGTGGGTGGGCAAAAGTATATTTGCAGTCGTAATACAAATAAATAATACAATAATCTATAATAAAAAAAACATAATATGTTAATTAGTCCAGACAGCTGAACGCCCTTCTGGACGACCTTCCTGACAACCTTTGGGATTGAAGCCAGGGCTGCAAGGGCCATGGCTATGAGGGCCGAGCCCCTTGCACAAATTTTGTGCATCGGGCCTCTAGTTAATAACTAATAATGTAAGAATAAATTGTGTTTCATGTACTCACAATCATAAACCTACTTTTGCCCACCCCTGTGTAGACAATGGAATAGATAGTTCAGAAATAAACTCTTATGTATTTGGTCAAATGTTTTTCAACAAGAGTGCCAAGACTGTTCCATGGGAAAAGGGTAGTCTTTTCAACAAATGGTGCTGAGAAAACTAGATAGATATTCACATACAAAAAAAATAAAAATAAATAATAAATAAATAAAAAGAACATGACCCTTAGGTTACACCAGCAATTTTCAACCCATGTGCCACAAGAATTTTTAAAACATGCAATACTTGACTATTTAGTGAGGGACACTGACCTCTTTTCCCTTAGATTGTCAAATAAAAAAATGACAACAGTCAACTTAACAATAGCTGTCTGGTGTGAATGAATCAAAATTACACCTATTTTTTTTTTCAGATTGGCCAAAAATATATTTTTTGTGTGCCACAGAATTTTAGTAATTAGTTTATGCAGAAAGCCCTAAAGATAAATAAGGTTGAAAATTGCTAGCTTGCACCATTTATAAAATTAACTCAAAATAGATAAAAGATTTAAATATAAAAGCTAAAACTATAAACTATTGGAAGAAAATCCAGGGAAAAGGATCATAACATTGGATTGGGCAAAGATTTCTTGCATATGACACCAAAAGCACAGGCAACAAAAGTAAAGATAGAAAAATTGGACTACATCTAAATTAAAAACTTTTTTTTTTTTTTGCATAAAAGATACTCTCAACAAAGTGAAAAAGCAACCTACAGAATGAAAGTATTTTCAAATTGTATCTGAAAAGATTTAATATATACACTATATAAAGAACTTCTATAATTCAAGAACAACAATAACAAAACACAATTTAAAATGGGTAAAATAATATTATATGTTATCCAAAAAATATACGAATGCATGAGCAAATTAAAAAGTATTCAACATAATTAACCATTAGGGAAATACAAATCAAAAACATGAGATGCCACTTCATATCCATTAGGATAGCTATTATTAACAAAATAGGAAATAAAAAGTGTAGTTGAAGATGTGGATAAACTGGAACCATTGCATACTACCAGTGAGAAAGGAAAATGATGTGCCACTATGGAAAACAGTATGATATTTCTTTGAAAAATTAAGAACATGTAGCCTCAAAGTTGATCCAACAACTCTAAGGCTACATATGAAAAGAACTGAAAGCAATGTTTTTTTTTTTTAAATTAAATATGTTTTTATTGATTTCAGAGAGAGGAAGGGAGAGAGATAGAGAGATGGAAACATCAATTGGTGTCTCCTATACACTGAGCATGCAATCTGGACATATGTCCTGACCTGGAATTGAACCAGTGACCTCCTAGTTCATGGTCAATGCTCAACCACTGAAGCACACAGGCTGGGTGAAAGCAAGGTCTTGAACTGATATTTGTACACCCATGTTCATAGCAGCATTACTCACAACAGCTAACAGGTGGAAACAACCTAAGTGTCCATCAATGGATGAATAGATAAGCATATTATGGTATATGCATGCAATGGATTGTTACTGTGAACAATTATATTAATTCATTAATTGTAAAATTAAATAAATAGAATTATAGAATTAATATTATTATTTAGAAAAATAATACTCAAAAATTCTGACACATACTACAACATGGATGGATCTGAAGACATTATGCTAAGTGAAATAAGCAAGTCACAAAAGGACAGCTATTGAATGATTTCACCTATATGAGGTACCTAAGGGAGTCAAATTTATAAAGACAGAACATAGAGTGGTAAATGTTGGTGTGTGTGGGGATAATGGAAAATTATTGTTAAACAGGTATGGAGTTCCAGTTTGGGGAGATAAAAAGTTCTAGAGATAGATGGTGATGATGTTTTTATAATAACGTAAATGTAGTTAATGCCACTGAACTGTACACTTAAAAATAGTTAAAATGGTAATTTTATGTTGTACATTTTTTATCACAATTTAAAATATAAAAAGTAAAAAAATAAAGAAATGAAATGACAAAATATCAATCTTACAATTTTGAGAGCTCCTTTAGATCCTTAAATACATATGGTGAAAGATGTTCAATCTTATTATTTCTTAAATCCCTAGGGAAATAATTGAAAAAGTCCAATTATTTTCTTAAGACTTTATTTATTGCTCTATACTTGATTACTAGCAATTTTAACAATGCTATTAATGATTAATATTAATTACCAGAACTCTAAAAGTTAATAAAAAAAAAAAAAAGAATAAAAGAAAAGGGGAGTGACAGTCTGTTCCATGCCTTCATGCTTTGGGTCTTATTTTGGAATTGTTACTGATTTTTTAAAAGGGACATTATAAATAGCTGATTTAATTTATCTCTCTCTTCTATTATAGGTTTGGATGTTACCCATGGCAGTGTTTAATTTCTTTATGAATCAGAGATTATCCTTTGGTTTCAGAATTAGCAAAGTGAATCCTTTTATCGTAATGGTCTCTGAATACTAGCTCTTTAGGAAACTTAAAGACAAATTTGCTGTCCCTCTAGCAGTGGAACAAAGTGGTGTCAGATGTATTTTATTTATAAAATTTACCCTAACTTTATTCTTTTCTCTGCATCTATGTTTCCTTTACTTCACTTTCCTCAAATATCTATTTTATATTTTCCTTTAACACATATTTTTATATACTCTCAGAATTCCTTTGTGGTCCAAGATGTATATAAATTATGCTAGGAAAAGAGATAATAAATATTTCTTAACATATAAAAGCATATATGTAGAGCAAATGTGAACTACAACAGTAGAAAGAAAAATTTTATCATTATATGTTTAATCAAACTTACAATTCGTCTAGTTTCTGGAGAGGTGCAAACGTATTTTCTTTTAGATCATTAATTTTGTTTCCCCCCATTATCCTAAAAGTGAAAAAACAACACACACATTATAGCTTCTTAAAAAATGAGTTGTTAGAGGAGATGAACAGCCTGCAAAAACTATATATATATTTATAAAAGGTAATTTTATATATATATATATATATATATATATATATATGGTGCACTTTTCATATCAAGATAATCTGAAGGTGTATGATAAGTTATTCAACCTAATTTTAAACTCAAATTTCCAAATCTTTTAATAATGTCAAAAACAAAACATTCTAATTTTAAAGTGAAATAGGTAAGAGCTTTGCAAGGGAAATTGTGACGGTCTCAACTCTTGAGAACAGTCTGATTCTCAAGACCATCGAGAGCATTAGAGAGCTGTTTTAGAGCTGCTTCTTCAGCCCATGTAGTATGTTTGTCTAACAAAATATCCCCTAAATGATGTCACTCATACATATTTGGAAGTTGATGTAACTTCGGGTAGAGTTGCTGAAGAAGTTTAGCCTAAGCTGGACCACGTTAGAGCTCTAGTTTGGGATGCTGAATGATGACTGTAACTCTTGGAAGTTCACTTCTGCAGGATCTCATGTGGACGAGCTAGCATAAAGGACTAACTCATAGAAAAGTAAGAGGATTCCCAATTCTTTAAGCACTGCGTGACATGCTTAGAAATTGGCCTTATCCCATCCTTAAGTATTTATTTCTTCCCAGCACTCCAAACCAGTACCACCTCCTTCCAATATCTCTGGGCCAAGAGAAAACATAAATAACATCATGCAGAAGTTTCTTAAAAAGCAAACACAAGTAGAACAAAAAAGAAGTTCTAAGTTTTTTGGATATATATTTTATACATATTCTTTAGGTGCAGTTTTTTTTTTAATGTACTTTAACTGATTTCAGAGAGGAAAAGAGAGGAAGGGAGAGATAGAAACATCAATGATGAGAGAGAATCATTGACTGGCTGCCTCCTGTACACCCCACCCTGGGGATCAAGCCCGCAACCCAGGCATATACCTGACCGGGAATTGAACCAGTGACCTCTTAGTTCCTGGGTTGTTGTTCAACCACTGAGCCACACCTGGCTGGGCACAATTTGGTTTCTTTAGGATAATTAATATGAACATCCATATGAACTATTTTGCATGATTGATATAGAGCATACTGCATCTCAAAACTGCTGAACTCACTGCAGAAGAGTTCAAATATTTCAATGGCCTGAATTCATTGCAATGGGAGGCATAATTGGAGGAAAGTTATTGTTGTTTTAGTGGTAGCTATTGCATTGCCGATACACAGGGGTCCTGCATATTCTAACATGATGGTTTTCAAAGTTTTCCATGGTAACCTTCAGTAAAAGAAATGCATTTTACTTTGGGGCATAATCCAAGACTCTTGAAACAATACATTTAATTATGGGAATTACACTCTCATATTTTTATTCAATTCAATTTTAAAAAAAAATTATGATCAGGACGTACTACATTACTTTCATCACTCACTTGTGAGTTGCAACTCACAGTTTGAAAAACACCGTCCTGGAAAAATCAACTGTGAATTAGGCAGCTGCATTTTTATATTAAAGGAAGCCCCAGAATCCTTGACTTTCATGGAAGAGGCAGTGTGAATTTAAAATAGGCCAGAGAGGCATAATAAGGATAAATGAAACTCAGCAACATTCTAAGTTTTATCCTGGTGTCCACAATTATATACAGAAGGTGTGAACATTCTGCAATATTTTTTTAAAATTTAATTTTGACTATAAGTAATCTCGCCCCTTACAAACTTTGCAGTAATAATTTATAAAGAGAAAACACTCACAGATTAAAACTTTTGCTTAGTGTTTCTCATACTGAGGCCTTAGGACAGATTCTATGTGGTCTCTAAGAATTTCTTTCCACTAAAATGGGTTTTATTTCAGATTGGGAAAAACAGGCCTCAGGTAATACAGTGACATTGTGATGCTTTATATATATTGACACTTTGTGGTTACCCTTAATTTGAACTTTAGTAATTTTGCCAATATGCTTCAGTTTAAAAACACTTCAAGCCAATAGTGAAAAATTTCCGTAACTACTGTGCATGTTTATCCTAGCTACTGTTCACATAAATGATTCATTTTCTTTGTAAAGAGATATAACATTATTTGAAAAGGATAAAACATTACTTACAAAACAGTTAAACTACTGCAGGAGGTAAAAGTCAAATTTTTTAAATTATGGATATGGTTGCCTTCAACATCCCTGAAACATAAAAGATGATAAAGCTAAATTTTAATCACAGAGAGAAATAAATTGGTTGAGAATGACTTGCTTTCTAATAAAATCGCTTCACATGATGTTTATTTTATATAGATCCTTACAGATGGCCACTTAGATAACAGCTGAAATAATATTTATATAGATTTAATGTTTCTTTTTTTCGCTGTTAATTGTAAAAATGGTTTGAATCACCGAATCTCTACCATGTGTTCATATGGGCACATATGTTACTCTGAGAAATGTGAAAAGAATGAGAAGTCAAACTGAAAATCTTTGTTACGGTGGACACTCACTATTACCAGAGATTTCATAGTGGACTGTATTAAGCATCCGCTAGAGTTACCAATGGCATTTCTCTAAGTTGATGTGACCCTATTTTGCTGCAGCCTGAGAAGCTGCTCCTGCCAAAACAATACTTAGCTTCTACTTCCCTTGCCTAAATGCTCCCCAGAACATTTTTTTTCACCAGCCTTTCCCACTATAAATAACCTCATTGCTTTATTACATTGCCACACAGGTTATTGCAGAGGAAACCCCACAAGGCTATTCTTGGTTGTCCACTCCCAGCTTAGGGATTACCTATAGAAGGGGTCCCAAAGAAATGCATTCACACTTTAATAGCCGATAGCTCAATATTGAAGATGAAATGCATTTTAAGAAACACTGCCTTTATAATTATTCAAAGTGTGTGTATACATGTTCTTGCGACACCCTATTGACCCTCCTTGAACTCTCCTGCTACGTGGCTCACTCACTGTCAGGAGTTTGGTCTGGTCTAAGCAGCCAAATTTGTCAGAAAGTTTATGCTTTATTATTCTCTTGTAATTACCATGAAGGTATTCTTTTATTGCTCCTCTTTCATTGTTCAGTTAATGGGTAAAGTGTGTAGACCAGAGTTAGCTGAGGTTAAGGATGTACTTTCAAAAGTAAGTGCTGGTTTTTAAATCTACTCAGTCTATACCAATACGGAGTTTACTGGTCACCCTATAACATGGGCCTATAGGAATAATCAGGACTCAAATATATGAGCTAAAGTGTGACACAGCTACTAAAATCTGTAAGGGAAACGTGAGAAGCAATAATGGAAATGCGATATTCTGCTGGCTAGGCTACATCTGGGAGAGTCAGTTTTATTTTGGGCACTGCAATAAAAAATAGATATTGACAAATCAAAGTATATCTGGGAGATCTGGATGTAACGGGCCTAGAAATCAAGTCAGTTGGAGAAAGGCGTATTTATTATTATTTTTAAAAAGTATATTTTTGTATATTTCAGAGAGGAATGGAGAGGGAGAGATAGAAATATCAATGATGAGACAGAATAACTGATTCACTGCCTCCTGCATATCCCCTACTTGGGATAGAACCTGTAACCCAGGCATGTTTCCTTAACCAGAATTGAACCCAGGACTCTTCAGTCCGTAGGCTCTATCCACTGAACCAAACCAGCTAGGGTGAAAAGGGTGTATTTATAATAGAGAAGAGTAAAACGAGAGATATATTTGAAGTGAGGCTGTATAAGATATAGGGTTTTCCAATGTTGCATCAGGTTACAAAATTAGATTTACTGGTTGAAGGACACAAAACATTTTAAGTTTAAGCTCACAATCTATGGTGTTCAGAGAAGCAGCTTGTTGTCACTATAGGTATTTTACAGAGGCAGTACCATAACTCAAGGATTTTGTAGAAGTTATTTTTGTACTACATGGAATACAATACTCTAGAACATTCTTTTAAAGAAAAATTCCTATTATTCTCTTATATTGGAAACTAAGCACTTATGATCATAAGATTTGGCCAGGGCTTTGGCCTTTCATAATATTCATTGCTGTTTTATGAATCTACCACCAGGTGGTGATGCTCTCTTAAGCCTCAGAAAATAGCCTTAGGTGATCTTGTTAGCTACTTATGAATTTTTTAAAAAATTAAACTAGTATCTATATTTAAATTAGTATATTTATTAATTTGAAAAATCAGTGGAATGTACACATAGAGGCACAAATTAGGGATTTTTTTTTATTACATTGTTAGTTTTACTTAATTTTAAATTTATCTTAACCCTGAGTTGTAAGTTTGCTTTGGCTTTCTTCCTAAAATTAGAGGTTTTGGTCCTTGGTATGCAGGGATCTGGTTTGCAGCATACATATTAGCTGAAGCATCCAAACCTGCTTCTTGTTGTCCAGCTCCTAGCTTTTAGGGAGTTGAAAAGGGTAGTGTTTTGTTGTTGTTGGTTTGTTTGTTTAGACCACTTTTCCAACTTGATGAGCCTCTGAATCTAATTATATTTTCTCTTTATATATGGCAAAACTTGCCAAAAATAAAAATTTGATTCTTTAATATGTAGGACAACAATAACAAAACAAAAATACCAACAATCTTATCTTTTCTTTCTCAACTTTCTTTCTTATCCCTAGTGGCATTCTAACCATGCAAACCTCCTTATCCTCTACTTCCTCTCAACCTTTCAAACATTACTGGCTCCTATTTCACAAAAAATACTGAGGTGATCAAAGAGGGAAAAGCCTTTGACTTTCTGCCTAACATCTATAGACTTACCTGTAAATGCACCTGCTAATCCTTCCATATGTTTTCTCGGGTTTGGTTTGTGTATGTCCTAAAATATATGGTCAATTTCGGTGAATGTTCTTTGGGCATTCTTTGTTTGCAGTTTTATATCTATTAGGATTAGGTGCAGACACATATAACAGAGACCCAACTATAACAGCATAAACACATAAGGAATTCTTTTTAAGAAAAAAATAAATAAATCTAGAATTAGGCAGTCCAGAGCTAGTATGGTAGTTTTACAAAGTGGTTAAAAACCCAGATCTTTCACATTCACCATTCACATGTCCTAGTATTCATGGTCCAAGATGATGCTTGGCCATAATATACTTTTGTTCTGGATAAGGAAGGAAGAGAAGGGTCTGCCTTTTCCTCTTCAAGGAGATTTCCCAGAAGTGCTACACTACACTTCTTAAGCCTCATTAGTTAGAGGTTAGTCACGTGGATAGATCTAGATACAGGGAAGTTTCAGAAAGTAATGATTTAGTTGGGCACATTGCTGTCCCAAATAAGCCAGTTCTGTTATTGAGAAGGGACACTGCAGTTTGATATACATCAATTAGACTTAACTTATTAAGTATGGTAATAGTTCTCCATATCCTTATATGCCCAACCTGTATATTTTATTTGTAATTCATATTATGTTCTTGAAATTGAGCCATGTTGATGGTAGTAAGGTTAGTTCATTCATTTCATTGCCCAGTGTGTATCACATTTCCATAATTTTCCACATCTCCCAGTACCTTGCTTCGTAATATAGCCTCCATGTTTTCTATATATTCAAATTATTTATTTTAGCTTCAACCCATATATAATCTTGGTAAGTCTTATCTCAAATTAAAAGTTTACTTCACTCTCTTGGTTTTTAGTTCACCTTCCTTCAGCTATTGTCCATCTGTCCATATGCTTATTTATTACTTATATTGCTTCCTTTTAAAATTTCCCTATCTTTACTATAGTGTTTATAGTTTTAAAAATTGCCTTGAAAATGCTATACTAAAAGTTTTAATCTGTTATCTGCCATATATTTTGAAAGCATATTATCCTGAGCTATCATATGCCTTTTTATTTTAGTGTATTTTTCCACTAAATCAGAGTTAAACTTTTTTTTTTTTCCAATACATCTATCAGATTTTCTAGTTTATACTTGCTACATAAAAGTTCATGGGCAAGGTAAATATATTATAACTATTTTAAAAGAAATAAATACTTATAAAGTAAAAATTATTACTAGGATTAAAATTGGAGAACAGTCACTATTAGAAATGTACATGGAATGAGTTGTTTGGATAGCTAAAACTTAAAATTTTAAAAAGTCCACTTTTTAGTAATAAATCTTGATCATTTTTATCAGAAGTGATATATGGCTGTCTTTTTTAAAGCAAAGGGAAGACTTAGTATCTGCCATATTTGCTCCTAATCTCAATGTATGATTTTTTCATTGCTAATTTACTTATGACTAAGTTTAAAATGCTAAGCATGGTTAACTAGTAATGTATTGACCTGAACCAAAATTTAATTACAACACAGGATATTAAAGCTAATTTGCCCTTTCCATTATGACTACACCAAGATGCCCTCTGGACTAAGTCATGATTTCTGAGATATTTGCCTTCCTTTAAATAGTTCCAAGATATAGTATGTTTTGAATTACTATGTCTGATTTTTGCAGTACTTCTCACTCCTGCTTTATTATCAGGTTGATAGCTGTCACTTCTTACAAAAATTGTTTCTTACTCTACCTTTCCCCTTACTTTTTTTTAATCCTCATCCATGGATCTTTTCCCCCCATTTATCTTTAGAGAGAATGTGGAAGAGAAAGAGGTGGAGGAGAGAGAGAAACATTGATGTGAGAGAGATACATTGATTGGTTGCCTCCTAAGAGTCCTGACCTGGCCCTAGAATCAAACCTGCAACCCATCTACATACCCTTGACTGGGAATCTAACCTCTGACCTTTTGGTCTGTAGGCCGACACTAGTAACTGAGCAAAACCAGGGCTTCTTTCCCCTTACTTATTTTTTAAAATATATTTTTTATTGATTTCAGAGAGGAAGGGGAAGAGAGGGTGAGAGAGATAGAAACATCAATGATATTGATGGGTTGCTTCCTGCATGCTCCCTACTGGGGATCGAGTCCACAACCCAGGGGTGACCTTGATTGGAATCAAACCTGGGACCCTTAGTCTGAAGGCCGACACTCTACCCATTGAGCCAAACCAGCCAGGGCTTCCCCTTACTTTTAATTTGGCATTTTTCACCTACTGTAGGCTTAGAAATTAAAGAAAAATTCAAGAATTTCCTACACAATAAGAAACAGATGGAGTTTTCATATGATACTGTATCTGCCATTTATTGACCAAATATTCCAATAGTTATTTTGTTATTTATTTCTTCATTTAACCTTATTTTAATAATCAAATTTACAGGGTAACTGAGCTCTAATAGTGGAGTGATACTTATTACAACAAGCAATGCTATTCGGTAACAAATTTTATGGAACATATTCTATTGTGATGACTTCAAAATAAATTCTAAGTATCACATTTTCACTATGCAGAATTTAGAAAATTTAGTCTTTTTGTACATATTAATAGGTGAATAGGTTGACAGGGAAAAGGGGGAGATGTTATATAGATACTATGCCATCCCTTCTGTCTTCTTTCTGCTTCCACGTGTTTTTTTTTTGTTGTTTTTTTTTTGTCTGTTTGCTTATTGTTGTTGTTTTTGAGATTTTATTTTGGAGAGAGTTTAGAGGAGTTAGTTTGATAATGTGATGTTTAATAATAAAATCGTGTTAAAGTAACTTGAGGAAATGTGATATGACATTAACAATTTACCATTTTACAAAACCTAATATACAAACAAACTAGGCAAAATTAGAAAAGTTAGTTGACTTCTTTAAGAAAAGACAAAGCAACTTACAGCCAATTCAGTCTTGGCATGTGCTGACAAAGAGGTCTGTCAGGTAAATGGGTGAGGACATTATTCATCAGGCCTCTGAAAAAGAAAAGAAATAATTTTAAAAATCACATTTTTTTTCTAGTAGTTTTATTTAACTTAAGCCAAACATGGTATTATCATTATTCTTATGAAACCATGAAAATCTCTTAAGTTAGTTGTTTTCTCTATTTTGGTCCTGTGCTTTATAATTCAATGCTTGTTGGTGATAAAATTAGATAAATAATATCTGTCATATGGATGAAGCAATAACGCTAGTAACAAAAACAAAACAAACAAACAAACAAACAAAAAAACCAACCAGTGCCTTTCAATCGTGGGCAGTAAAAAGGAGGTGATGTTATTTTTAAATTTTTAATTAAAATATTTTTATTGATTTCAGAGAGGAAGGGGAAGGGAGAGATAGAAACATTAATGATGAGAGAAAATCATTGATCAGCTGCCTCCTGCATGCCCCCTAGTAGGGGGTTAAGCCTGCAACCCAGGCATGTACCCTAACTGGGAACTGAATTGTGACCTCCTGGTTCATAATGAGTCAACCTTCAACTATTGAGCCATGCTAGCCAGAAAGGAGGTGCTTTTAAATGAATGTTATTTTTCTTTACTGAGATTAATATAAGGCAGTAATGGTGTGCTTAAGAATATTTCAATAAAATATCACTGTGAAGATGTATTCAGTTTTGATGGACTCAAATTGTAAAAGACAGAAAATATTAAAAATTGTTAAAACTACAAAATAGTCTTATCCTAGCTAATAAAGAGGGAATATGCTAATTGTTGTCACACCCTGATAGAGGTGCCTACAGCCAATAAAGAGGGCATATGCTAATTGACTGTCACGCCCTCAAAGATGGCGGTGCCCACAGCACCCAGAACCCTCAGCCCTGCCGGGGCAGCAGGCGTGCAGCACGGCCAGGCCCTCCCCACGCGCCTGCCTCTGGAGTCCCCCCAGTCCCCTCAGCCTCCCAGCTGTCCAGGGCCAGCCCGAGGCACAGGCAAGCCTCAGATGTCAGCTGCCCAGCTGCCCGGGGCCGGCCCGAAGTATAGGCAAGCCTCAGGTGTCAGTTGCCCAGCCACCAAGGACTGCCCGAGGCTTGCACTGCCGGCATTAACAACAGCAGAGGTGTGATGGGGGCTTCACCCACCCCTGAGGGTTCCAGACTGTGAGAGGGGGCAGGCCGGATTGAGGGACTCTCCCATTCCAGTGCATGAATTTCATGTACCGGGCCCTAGTAAACTATAATTAAATAATGGTTTTTAGTGGTAAAGCCTTTTTTTTAGGGTTTTAACAATTCCAAAATTAAAAAAAAATTTCCAAACTTATTGCTGTTAAACTTAAAACAGTAATTAAAAAAAATGTAAATTTATCGTTTACATGGATCAAACTCACTGAAATATATAAAATCATTTTTATATTTTGTTGTGCATTTGGAAAGTTAGTACCACTAAAATAAATACGTTTCCATAAACTTTCAACCTATGATTCAAATAAGATATAAAATGAGAAATAATGCAGCAGTTAATAATATGGAAAATTATGAAAATAAAAAGTAGAAATAAACCAAAATATTTAACATTTAAACATTACCCCCCAAAACACTCCAAAACACTAATAACAAACAAAATAAAACAAAACAAAACCAGAATAGGAACTATTAATATAAGAAGATTACTCCCCACCCCAATATTTTTGTTTCTCATTCTTTAAAAAATATCTTTATTGTTGAAAGTATTACATATGTCCACCTTTTTTCCTTATTGGCCCCCTCACTCTGCATGGCCTTTCAGACTTTCACCACCCTATTGTCTGTGTCCATGGATTATGCTTATATGCATAATCTCTTCCCACCCCACCTTCCTTCTGAGAAGCAGTAATTTTTATACATGTGTTTTCTTTTAATTAAAACATTTGCTTTAATTTTAATACTTACAAGAGTATAAGAGAACTTAGTCCATAAAATGTTAGTGGGGAAATTTGGCTGAGGTTATTATCATCAATTACCCTGCCAGCCAGAAGAAAAAAAAAAATCAATTCACTTATACATTTTTAGAACATAAAAACCAACGCCATAAAATGCCACATAAATTAAACGTACAGCCACTCTAATTTGTGGAGATCTTCAAAAACACCAGGCTTCAAGAAGGTTATCCTGTTATTACTAAGGTGCCTGAAAAAGGAGAAATGACCACAGTAAAATTAGTATTCCTGATATTTTTATAATAAGGAAATGAAAAACAATAATCATACATCTTAAGGGTTTTTTTTGTTTGTTTGTTTTTTTCTCCTACTCTTCTCATCATGCCATTTCCCTGGCTTTGGATCTCTAAAAGTTCTTTGTCATTTACATTTTTATGTCTAGTTTTTATTCTCTCAGAATCTGTCAATAAACCAATCAGCCTTGTCTTCATTCATCTATTCATTTATTCATCAAATTGTTTTGAGCACCCACTCTATGGCTTTATGATAAGCATACCATTTATTTTTTTGAGGGGCCTTGAGTCTCAAGGGAAGACAGCATGTGAACAGGCTGTTACAGAAACAAGAGGAGAGGAGAGAAGTGTACCAGACATGGTGCTCTGACAGTGCAGAGGAGAAGCCACCTGGCTTTGCTGGGGTCGGGGCTGCAGAGCATGAAAGAGTGAGGAAGCAGGAAGACTTTACCAAAGGAGGCACGCTCGAAAAGAATCTTGGACGAAGACATACCATTCACAAAGCAAAGAATGGGCAGAAGTTATTCTAGTTAGAAGAGATGGCTTATGCAAAGGCAAGAAGTGGAGAGTGACTAGCGAAGGGATTGCCAGATAATTCAGTGTGGCCTCGCCATGCGGCTGTGAAGACAGTTAAGAGATGAACCTGGGAGGCAGTCAGGGCCCTCTGTTCGGGTTAAAGGACATGGCATGTCTTGCTAAAGAGGTTGACCCCACCATACCTACGCAACCTCTCACACTTTTACAGAGTAAATCCCCTCTCTTCTATGTTGATCTCCTCTCACCATGCTGATTTCTAGCGCAGTTTCGTTAGTGCATCCATTCACTGCTCTGAATCTGCTGCCAGTTTGATTCCTAGCGTTGTCACTGACAGTGTGACCTTAAGCAAGCAATTAGCTTCTGAAAGCCATTGCTTCTCCAACTCTAAAATGGAGACAGTATTAGTACCTGCTCCTAAGGGCTGATGTATCATTCGAGGCAATGCACGGCATCAGCACTGGCAAGTCACAGTACTCAGTACATATTATTTATTATAACAATGTTTTCGGCCATGCCTCCCACTTCAATGTCTTTCCTGTTCTTTTTCCTCTCTGCCTGTGCTTCATAGACAAGTATCAGTTTAAGTTTCACTTCCACTGATAACACGGCCCACCCTGATTTCTCTCTTTTCTCCACTCTGCAGATCTTAAGTAGACATCCTGTAAAATGTCTCCTGACAGGAATCTCTCCTTCCCCCACCAAGTTTGACTTTTGCTTATGGGCAGTAAGGGATGAGGCCCCATATTAGAACCACTTCCTTCCCTCCCTTTCAAACCTGGAGCCTCAGGTGGGCACAAGAAGAGGTAAAGAATAGCTTCTACACTTCCTCTGAATACCTCAGGGGCTCCCTTGAAAGGTAATGGAAATCTGTCAGGTACAGACATTTAATCCACCCACGCAGTCGGTGTTCATCTGTTGAGCCCAGTCCCTTTTCTGAGCCACTCTTCGCTGCTCTGGACACAAATGGTCCATTCTTTCACTGAATCATCCTACGCAGCAGCTTTGGTTTGAACGACACAAGTTAAAGACTCAAGTAACCTCTTTAGTCATTCCCTCTTATTGGGTGCATGCTGCGATTGCTTCTCCACCTAAGACCAAGTAAGCTTCTGGAGAATGAGAGGCTTATGTCTCCCCAGCAGTAGTGCAAGGCTGTACTGGAAACACTGATGTGCAGGCTGCTGGAAGGAAGTTGGTCTGACTTATCTGTCTTGGCTCCTGCACCCTCTCAGAATCCGGGACCAGTTGGCAGACATCCCCCAGGGGTCCTTAATGCTGCCGTGCAGGCGGGAGAGACTCCTACCATCAATGCTGTGCTCCCTCACCAGCCATGAGGCCGGCTTCTGGCTGAGCGGTCCTCCCCCTGTGGAAGTGCACTTAACACCAGGGGGCAGCTCCTGCATTGAGCATCTGCCCCTGGTGGTCAGTGCACGTCACAGGGACCAGTTGTTTTGTCATTTGGTAGATTTGCATATTAGGGTTTTATTATGTAGGACTAGAGGCCCAGAGCACACATTTGTGCATGGCTGGGGTCCAGCCAGCCCGGCCCCAATTGGGGTGGATTAGGGCTGGACCTGTTGGGAGGAGGAGATGGTGGGAAGTTGGCCAGCTGGTCTGCCCCAATTGGGGCTGATTAGGGCTGGGCCGGCTGTGGGGAAGGGCTATGGGCGTGGGCTGGCTGGCCCGAACCAAACAGTGTGGTGGGGATCCATCAGAGGTGGGGTTGGTTAGGAGAAGGGGCCGCAGGCAGTTGGCTGGCCAGCCTTGCCCTGATTGGGGTGGTGTGGCTAGTCTGGGGTGGGGCTGGCAGGAGGAGGGACTGCTTGGAGATTGACCGGTTGGCCCCACCTCCTTTTGGAGTAGAGGGAGCGATCAGGGGCAGGGCCAACTGGTTATAGGGGCCAAGGGAGGTTGGCTGGCCTCACCGTGATCAGGCAGGTTCACTGGCCTCAGTGCGCGCCATATCACAGCAACTGGTTGTTCCGGTCATTCCAGTGGCTAGCAGTCTATATATATATATATATATATATATATATATATATATATATATATATATATATATATATATATATATATTTCTTGTAATATGTCTGGCACAGTGTGCCTAATTCTTTTCATAAATTTTCTCATTTGTTCCTCACAACAACCTTGAGGTAGGTACTGTTATAATTTATATTTAACAGGAGAGGCAACTGATGCTTAGAAAGGAAAATAAATTGCTAAACTTAACTCACTTAAGTGAGTGATGAAGTCAGGACTTGAAAGCCTGTATGACTCAGAACCCCATGCTCTTAGCTGAAATGCCATGTGCCCCTTCAGCTCTTTGCACATCTCCTCTCCTAGGCATCGTTGTGGGTTGGAGGGCTGGTATGGCCTGGGACGGGACAGTCTGACAAACCACTGTGGAACGGGCAAATAAATTGGTACTTACAGTTTAGTAAGATTGTACAGTCCTCTGAAAGAATACTTGGATATGGATCTAATCTTATTGTTTTGCAAGAACCTGTGAAAATTATTAAAAGGAAAACATAATGATAACGATGACATATCTATATTAATTCATTAATTGTAACAAATATGCTATAATAATAGAAGATGATAATAATTGGGGAAACTAGGTGAGAGGTATATGGGTATCCTCTGTATTATCTTCATTTTTCCATACACCTAAAACTATTCTAAGAATAAAAATAAATAAATAAATGAAAAACAATGAAATTGACTTTCAGTTCTGAAGTTGAAAAGAATTCTGTGGCTAGATGGTGGCGATGTTAATATAATGATGTGAAGTACTTAATGCCTTGAAACCTATACTTAAAATGGTTAAGAAGGTACATTTATGTCAAATGTTTTTTTTAACACAATTAAAAAAATTTAATTATAAAAGGTATATATAAGGAAATAATTTAGTGAATGTGGACATCATGTAACTTTGTTTTGCTATTTTAAATTCATGCATGATTAGGCTAGTTTTTAACTTAGAAATACTAGTTGTAAAAGTAAAAAAGGTAATAGCTAAAATTTAATATTTGAATTTTCTGAGAATAAAATTTTTATTTTTTATTTTTTTCTGGGAATGAAATTTCAATGCACAGTAAGGCATTAAAGTTAGTCAGACTTTTTAGCTATAATTTTTCAAACTTGTTGGTGTTTGACATAGTGCTGGCAAACATATAAGTAAGGCCTCCAGAAATATTCCATGTCTGCTAAGCAAGTCGACTTTAATCTTATTAACTAGACACCCAAAGTCTTGCTCCCAGCACAAAAAATGTTTGAGGAAACTTATGGGGAATATACATGACAAAGAGAAAAATAAAAATGAAAAGAATCAGGACTAGAAGAATATAAATTAGATAGGAACATCAGGACAAGAAGGCAGGCTTACTTAGTTAATAACTAAAGTCACATTGATAGTTTGACCCTGAGGCAGCTGGAGGCCAAAGGAAATAGGTCCCAGAGCATAAGCAATTGCATCATATTCACTGGTGAAGCTTTGTGTTTTTATGGCCCAGGTGGTGGGGATGACCAAGGAAGACCTCCAAGCCTGAGTTCGTGCTCTGAGAGCTGTCCGTTTGGCTAGTCTATGTATACATTTCTATAAATTTTAAGAATGATAAGGGAGAAACCAATACAAACACTTAGAAATTTTGACTAAAAGAGATCCCCTATTTCTGCAACATGCAAGAAAATCTAACTTTGATTATAAATTTATTACGTATAGCAATTTCACAGATCATGTGGCCCAATCACATAGTAGGTAATGCATCTTTCTCACTAATACATAGACTTTAATATTTATTTATTTATTTATTTATTTATTTATTTATTTATTTATAACTATTGTAATGAGCAAACAATGGAGTATGTTTTCTGGAGACTGAGCCAAGCTATACATCTGATAATCAATTAGAATTTTTTTAAATTAGGCTATTTTTTTTTATTGTTTGGAACAAATTGGCTGTTCATGAATTAACTTAATGTTCTTTGTTTAAAAATCATAAACTACTGTGTTATATAAACCTGAATTTTGCTATTGAAATTTGAAGTCCTAACTTCTTTTAAACATGTGGACATAAGGTGGTGCTGTAGATCAGAAAAACTCTTCATAGTACAGAACTCAGAACATAAAGAAGTATTATCTTGAAATTTTTGTATCAGGCATAATTTTGACAACTTCTTTTTTGTTGATTGATAAATGTCCAGAATAAAATTTCTAAAAAGTAATTTTTATTGGAATTTCTGTGTTCAAATGTGAAATATACTTTTTTTTTTTTTTTTGGTAGATTCAAAATATTTAAACACAAGCATATGACAATACGATTTATTCACAGGTTGGCCTAAATTATCAGTTAACATCACCTGGATAATTTTGGATTTTGAGAGTACATACAATACATCACTCTAAAGCCCACCTAAACAAGAGAAGCTAGAATGTCAGATACTATTTGAGACCAAAATAAAACTCAACCTGCAAGGCAGATGTGAAAATGGAATTTAGTCTTAGGTGGAGACTGAATTTGCAAAACTGGGGGCAGGGGAAGCTCTTTTTATTTTTATACACACTCACAACACACACACACACACACACACACACATACACACACACACACACAGTATATATATATTTCAGAGAGGAAGGGAGAGACAGAAACATCAATGATAAAAGAGAATCACTGACCCAGCTTGTGTTGCTCAGTGGTTGAGTGTTGATCTATGAATCTGGAGGTCATGGTTCGATTCCCTGTCAGGGCACATGCCCAGGTTTTGTGCTCCATCCTCAGTGTGGGGCATGCAGGAGGTAAGCTGATCAATGATTCTCTCTCATCATTGATTTTTCTATCTCTCTCCCTCTCCCTTCCTCTCTGAAATCAATAAGTATATAATAGTATATATTTTAAAAAAAGAGAATTATTGAGCGGCTGCCTCCTGCACTTTCCCACTGGTGATGGAGCCTCCAATCCCCGGCATTTGCTTTGAGTGGGAATAACCTCCTGGTTCACAGGTAGATGCTCAACCACTGAGCAATGTTGGTCAGTTTATGGGGGAAAACTCTTCACTATCTAATCTTGACTGCAGATGTAGTATAAGTTTTTCATATCTTTCTTTAAGGTGTGTGTTGAGGTGATCTATTGTTAAATAGTGCAGAGTGAAACCTCCTGATGGTCCCCACTTTGGCAGAGTAGGGCAGGAAAATTTACAACACACATTCTCTAGTTTCCTTGGGGATAGGTATATAAGATTTTTCTTGAATGGCTTCTACAACTACTAAAAAAAAATTACCTGGTAGTCTCCAGCTAATAGCTAAATAAGTCCCCACAGAAGGATTAAGTTTAAACAGTGGTAATGCTGCTGTTACAGACATGGGAAGAAATAGATATGCCAAAAATGTTAATTTTAATACCAATAATTAAATTTTTAAAAATTGAAACTTTTTTTCTTACAGTGTCCGAAGGTCATGGTACTTCTTGAAGGCATCAGCAGGAAGTTTTCTTATTAAGTTCCTCTGAAGTGACCTGAAATAAACATAAATTTGGATTCTTACTTGAAGTTTGCTTTTCTTTATTTTAAAACCACAACAATATGGATAATTATAAACTTTATTTACTTTAGCAACAGCTTTCAGGAAACATTTTGTTTCCTGATGCTATGCTCATATTCCTAGTATCATTTTAACATGGTCTAATTGTTGATTTTGTATTAATTATATTCTCTTTTCTTAAATTAGATTACAGCACTATAGATATGACATACAAATTAAAGATAATAAAATTGAGAAAATAATTTTTAGTTATGTTCTCCTTTTCTACTTTTATTTAGCAAACATTAGAAAACATTTCAGCTTTTGCATGATAATAAAAATAGCATTTCTTTTTAAAACACATTCAAGGACTTAAATAACTTTATATTCTTCAATATTTCATTGTTCAAATTCCACTACTTTGGCTTCCTTTTAAAATTAGTTGTGAAGAAAACTGTCAATTGGTACATACAATTGAACCATCCTTATTACATAAGTGGTCCATTTCAATTTCTAATAAATCATATGGAAAGATTTTGCCTTGCTTCACAATTTGAAAAGCAGCTTGACACAGACCAGGTCCACTTTAATTGTGGTTTTGTTGAAAAGGACCTAAAATCTTTAAATATTTTTTTAAAGGAAAGCAATGTAACGTAGTGGTAACAAAATAAAACAAGCAACAAAATAAAAGCACAAACTAAAACACACACACACACACTCACACACAAATAAAAATACACAACAACAACAAAAAAACCAAAAATCCCAAAACAATTGCAGCTGGGATCCCTTACATGAATCATACATACTCTTTCCATGTCAGTCTTTTCTTTAATTGTGAAAGAATGGATTACCTCTCATAATATGATGTTGTTATTATTACTAACACTGGCGGCTGGGTACACAAGAAGAATCTTTGATATACTTAAAAGAGACACAAGTGAGGTCCCATGAGAGAACACAAGAGCAAGAAGTTAATTGCATTTGGTGTGGGCCTGCCAAGGCATTAGCAGTGAGTTAATTAAATGTTTGACAAAATATAGCAGGCTAATTTTTAATTTGATAATTTTTTGTGGCCTGCAAGTGATGCTACAAAGATCCAAATGGCCCTTGGCAGAAGAAAGGTTCCCATCCCTTTAAAGTTTCTTAAATAATGTTTCTTAGAAATTTGGGTTTTTATTAATGGTGCCTACAATTTATAGGCTCTTTCTTTCTAAATGATGCCAAATGTTTTCACAAATAGCATTCTCTATATTTTCATAGGGCCCCAGGAAATGGAAGGAGGTAGATGTTGTTATTCCCACTTAATAGAACAAACCCAAATACTTTTTAATATAATAGGTTTTTGTATTTAAAATTAAAATTCCAAGTTTGACTTCTCGCAAAGTGAAGTATGTGAATGAAAGAGAGCAACTGCTGGCTTTATTATTATAATTGTTAGAGCTACCTCTAGTTTTTAAAAAGGAAGTTCTTAATGGGTGATGTCATTTTAATGATAAAATCCCAGGACCTTAATGTCAGCTTTCATAGAGTTAATATTTAGCAAAGTAGAACAATGCAGAAATAAACATATTTAAATATTTGTCTCTTTTGTTATTAGCATTTATGTGAAATATCTTTAACAATCCCAACTTCAATAAATATTACTTGGGTTATTGGCTTCTTTACTACTTTACTTATATATGATTTAGTCCATTTCTGAAATTTCTCTATGATAGTTCTGACTCAAAATATGGACTGAGCTCAGTAATAAACTCTCCTAATATTTACTCTCCTAATGTGTTTGCTGTAAAGCCTTTTCTCTGCGGAATGGAACAAACACTGGGACAAGATATGATGCTGAGTCAGTGTTCTGCACAGGAAAATAGAAATGGACACCCTCAATCAAGCTGCTCAACCCAAAGTGCAAGAAAAAGCTATTTTTAAAAAACACAAAATAAAATAAAGTGGTACAGACATAACTCCTGCACTCCGTTCTCACATCTCCAAATTCCTATAGGAAATTTCCACGGCATGACCTGTTAACCTCAAATTGAAAGAAACTTCTAAAGCTAGAGTCCTCCCCTACTTATCGCCACCAGGCTCCCCATCCTTGGATCACCGTATTACTCAGAATAGAAACCTCACAGTCATCTTGGACTCTTCTTTCATCCTCGTCTTTCTATAGCCAATCATTTATGATCCCCGTTTTTTCCTTATACCAAGAGTTGAAAACCGGTGGCTCATATGTATGCACACATCTCTTTATGTATATATGTATGTGTGTATGTACAATGCATATACATTACACATGTATGTCTGGTGTATGTATGTCTGTATGTTCTGAGCCAGAAGAGCTTTTTTTTTTTTAATTGAATCAGAATACCCTTAGGTGGGACATGCACTTTCTAATTAGTCATTGCCTTATCCTCCTCTACTTCTCCAGCACTCTTCTGTTCTCATTTACAAAGATTAGCTGAATTGCTCAAGAATGAAATGAAATTTTATTTGTGGAAAAATAAGAAAAAAGATTGGAAGCATCAAGGTATTCTTTGGTTTGGATTTTTGAGTAATTTGATGTAAGCATTGGGGTGATACTTTTTTTCTTTGAATATAGAATGAAATCATCACACATTATAAAAACCCAGCAGTTCCAGTCAGAATTTAAATAATGGAAACTCTCCATAGGACCTCAGATTTTTTGGGGAAGAGATTATTATTATTTTTTAAGTAAGACTAATTACTATAACAAAGAGCATTGGTGAATTGATTCTAGGAAAGAAGGCTATCCTTAGTTTAGGTGAAAATGTTGCTTCCTTTCGAAAAGTCTCTGTAGCTTACCCTGCCGGATGCCCTCAGCTCATTGTCAATTTGGGTAAAGTCCCTAGATGACACCACTTGGGTAAACTCCTGGACGCTATTTATTTGATGGCACCACTATCATCATAGCTATTCCCCACCCCTTATATATACCAAGCATATGACTTGCTGGGTTACATGGTTTGGGTTAAAACAAGGCAGAATTTGCCAACATTTGTAAATTTAAGAATAACTTTTATTTTGCCCTTATATTCACAGAGCCATAAGTCACTAAAACATCTGATGAAAACAAAAAAACCTCAGCAAAAATATTGGACTAAAATATCTATTTTTTACTGATTTATTTTGAAAGTCTCAGCCAAATGTGTATATTTGTGGTGTTGAAGTTTGCTGAATTCTAATCTGTACTGGATCAACAAACCACTTAATATCAAGATTTCTGTTTTACATATATAAGTTTGAGTTACTTAAGAAAAAAACCCAGTTATCAACATCTCCAAACCAAATGTGATTCAGAAGAGTTTAATTTTAAATGTGAATCTTTGGGAATATTTACTAATACCATTTAGTTAACTTTTTTAAAATTTTATATATCAGAGTGTATTAAAATTTATGTTCAATAAACTCTAAAAGAGTTCTTTCAAATATGCGTCAAGTAAACACTTGATAAAATAAGAAAGCTCTATATAAAAGTTTAATTGGCAGCTTTTTTCTTTAGCAGCACATACAATTGATTGTGTCCTTTGTTTAGATGAAATATGGTGACATTATATTGTTATAAGGGACTAAGTAAGTTAATGCATGGAATAATTTAGAATAAGGGTAGCATTTAATACATGTAAAATAAATATCAGCAACTAGAATCTAGCATGGAGCAATGACATGATCTTTGAGTAAATGTAATATATCAAGAATGACAAGGCTTTAATTATGACACAGTTTCCCAAGGACTGTTCCGGCTCAGGCAAAGCCATTATTTTCTACTTACATGGAGGTCACATTTGAAGAAACTGATGGAACAGTTCGTAATTTGGACTCATCACAGTCAAGCTGTAAATCTCGGCAAAGGCATTTTATGGGCACAAAACTGATGGCTGAATAAAGGAAAGAGAGTAAGACATGAGGACAGTGAGGGACCAGGAACAGGAGGGTAATGGAAAGTAAGAAAAAGCTATGAAAATTATTTAGTACAAAGTCTATCTTGTTTTACCTAAGCAATTCAGTTAGTGCTTTAAATTAAGGTTCCAAAGTTTGCTTTTAACTTGAACATTACATGGAACTATCGATAAAACATTAAGATATAAAAATATACAGGTTTAAATAGCAGACTGCAATTCTCCTTTATTTTATTTTTATTTTTTAATTTTTGCAAATAAATGAAATCATCTGCTCTTGCTTACCTCAGGGGAAAAGCTAGTCTGAGGGAGATATGATAGTGTGTGACGGCCTTTAATGTCCACATTAAAGCTGCTACTTAAGAATAAAGTGTTTACTGACAATATAATCAAATCGTTAATGGAGGACTAAATCATTTTTAACTACCAAGTAGGCAGAGAACTAAATGCTGAGCTATAGTGTTGGTAGATTTCTTTTTTCTCCACTGAAAATTTCAGGAGTTTTTCAAAGGATTTTAAAGTGATCTTTTGGCTTTTGTAGGGATGCAAGAATGTCTAAAATGTCATTTATGGGATTGAACATATTTTTACACAAAGCTATTCTCTTCTTACTGATGGGTGTTGGGAAGAGGGGGCATGGGATACATGCCTTTGGTTATCATGTGGGGCTACAGTGATAGTCTTAAAGATGAGACCCAATATTCCTAAAGTCTACATGAGACTTGCAGTCATGCGCTCATCTAGCTAAAGAGTAAAATGGGATTATTACTAGGTGTAATAAATCTAGTCTGATTCCTGCCTCTGCGAGGAGTAGATGATTACTGAGAGCAAGGAGGAATGCTCCCCTTCTATATTTGCTTTGAAGCCCTGAACTGTACAGCAGAGGTTAAGGTTACAGGCTCCAATGTCTACAGAGAACAGGCAAAGTAGGTGTAGTCTGTGTCTAGATGTCCCAGTGGATCACTTCTCCTAATCATTCCCATACTGAGATGGGAACATGTGTAGCTAAGCCAACCAGCTTCCTTCAAGATTCAGGACAGTATTTTCTACACAATTACCTATTTTAAAAACGATAACAGTGAACAACATTTTAAAAGATCATAGGAGGATGCTCCTGCTTGCAGGCCTCCGTTGTGACTTTCACAGTAGAGCTTTCAGAGACTGGAACTGTGTCTTAATGGCAGAGTAGAGATTCCCGTGACACAGCTGGCAGGTGACTGCTCACCAGCACGATTGGCTGCAGCCTTGGAAATAGTAACGGGTCTCCTTGGCTCAGATACTGGCTGGTGACAGCTGCACTTCCTCTCCTCCCAAATAACTCTGCAGACACCTTTACAAGACCACGAGAGATCAAGACGATAGCTTAGGATTTGTGTCCTTTGTAAACAGAGTCTCTGCCAAGAACTAAACAGCTTTATAGTGGTAAGTGACCGCTTTGGTTATGAGTCTCTGAAAACCGATTCTGTCTCTTCACATAAAAGCCATTCCAGCGTGAGTGTGTTTATGTTGTGGGGAAGGAGTGGTGAGGGTTTGGCAGGAAGATGAAGGTCCTGAGAGTGAGAGTAAGAAGGGCAGTGAGATTAGCTTAACTCCAGTGGTTATAATATGGTTGTGCTTTTAGATCATGCTAAAATGCTAATTGAACACATGACAAAAATGGTTTGAACAGGAAATTTCACTATGCTAAAATCGAAAAGGATGAGCAATGCACCAGCTAGTTAATGAAATTATGGCTGAGTAAAAATTCTTTCCAAATCTCTGCACTTTCCAAATCCCTCAAATATTGTATAAACTTTATTAATACATTAGTTAACAGTAGATATATGTTTTTTTGTGGCACTCTTCTTGAGAGGTACACTTTATAAATGTGAGCTCACCACATTCTGTCATTCAGCCAAAAATGATTATTAGCCATCCTCAGTTTAATTTCCAATAAATCCTTATAACAATCTGATTCAGATAAAGTGGCACAATATGAACCTTAATTCAAGTATCACTTCCAAATTTTATACTACACTTTCTATCCATTTTACATTGCTTGCTTTTTGGAAAAAAAAATTATATATATATATATATATTTATATATTTGATTGATTTTTTACAGAGAGGAAGGGACAGGAATAGAGAGTGAGAAACATTAGTCAACTGCCTCTTGCACATCTCCTACTGGGGATGTGCCTGCAACCAAGGTACATGCCTTTGACCGGAATCGAACCCGGGACCCTTTAGTCCGCAGGCCGATGCTCTATCCACTGAGCCAAACAGGTCAGGGCCATTGCTTGCTTTTAAGTTTCAAAAAGATGTTTAATTATTACCACCTCTCCTTGAATTGTGTTTAAAAATAATTAAAAGTATCTATTTGTTCTTTACTAAGTACTGATAAAAACTTTTTGATACATCATTTATTGTATAGCTCCATTTCTGCTCTGTAATATTACTTGTGACAAATTTCTCTCAGAGTTCAGGTTCAGGCAAAAATTAATTTCTCTTGCTTACTTGATCGATTTTCCTCCCATTTGTTTGTTTTTACTTTAGAAACCAGACTATGAAAGTCCTGTAGCCCATTTCCCTCTTCTTTGACCTAGTAACTACTAAATTCAGAACTAAGCTTTGGATACAACTACTGAACTTTTCTCAGTGAAGATTACCTTATTTTCCTTTTCCATTCCTTTTTCTACTCACCATTGAATTTTGGTCATTTATGTTATGTTAATGGTTTAAGTTTGTTAATAGCCATAGTTTTATCATGAATTGCCTAAAAGCCTTTTGGGAATAGGTGAGATATAAAAAGATGCAATTAAAATTTAAGATATGAAAAGTATACATAAAACAAAATGAAAAGAAAAACTATGTTTTGAGAAATGTGGCTTGATCCATTGTCATTTTTTCATTATATTAATTTTTTTCTTTCCCCAAAGCTTTTAGTTTTTCAATGATCTAGTAATTTGGTCTTCATATTCTGGGAAACAACGTGAGGCCGAGACAGATTGCTGAGCAGCCTGTGAGACTTACGCGAAGAACGTACACTCCCTTAAACTGGGGATTGCTAGTAGTTTTATTAATCTCATTTGAGTAGTAAAGACAGAAATGCTAAAAATGAAAACAAAAGCTATAATTTACAATTTGTGGTAGAACATAAAAATAGTAAAGTAACCCAACCCCTGCTTTTAACTGCGGGTTTGTTTTGTTTAAATGTTTTTATTGATTTGAGAGAGAAAGGGAGAGGTAGAGAGAAATAGAAACATCTGTGATGAGAGAGGGATCACTGAGGATGGAGCTCACAACCCGGGCATGTTCCCTTAACTGGAATTGAATCTGGGACCCTTCAGTCCACAGGCTGAGGCTCTGTCCACTGAGCCAAACCAGCTAGGGCTCAACTGAGGTTTTGAAAAGCTAGAATCAACATTACAATTCCAAGGTGCAAATTTACATTGGCACAATTTATTAGAATAGACTAAATTTATTTAAAAGAAATTATTCATATAGATCTTCCTGATCTAAAATATTAAAGGCTTAATCCTCAAGGTTATACCCTCCAACACTGCCTCTAGTGTTTTTGTAAGTTTTTGATATATCATTCTGCATGGTAGGTTATAATTAATAAGGCCTTTTTTGTAGCTCTAAATCATAGTTTAGACCTCAGAAGATTTTTCACTTACAAGCATTAAAATCCAAATAGCTTTTATGCTCTTCTATTTTCAGTTTCCTTTATATCGGAGTTTATAGTGACTGTAAAAAGGAGACATATAAAATGGCCATCTTGACTGACAGTAATCTTATTTACAACAATACCTAGTATGATTTATTACTTTTACAGTTAAGATCCCTGAGTCATTTTTATATAAAATTCTCAAATTAAGACTGCATATCTAATAGAGTTTGCAACAGGAAAACTATAACTAGCCTTTTTTTTTTTTTTTTTTTTTTTTAAATGTTGGGTCCAACTTTTAAAGACATGGTGCCTCATGAATTCATGAAACAGGAGATTCAACCCCTCCGGTTACTTACAGCATTTCGGTGTTTCAGACTCTAAGAGGTATGGGAAGGTCGTTCTGTTGTAATTGATAAAATTTTTCTCAATTTGAAAAACCCATCCATTGTTGTCTCCTAAAATAAAAATGAGAGAGCAGAAACGTTCAAGAACACAGAAACATTCTGGCGTATTGGGGAAATAGGTTCTCCTTTAAAATTAATGAGTGGCCAAAACCAGTCTGACTCAGTGGATAGATAGATCGTTGGCCTGCGGACTGAGGGTCGCAGGTTTGATTCCGCTCAAGGGCATGTACATTGGTTGCTTGCACATCCCCAGTAGGAGGTGTGCAGGAGGCAGCTGGTCAATGTTTCTCTCTCATTGATGTTTCTGGCTCTCTACCCCTCTCCCTTCCTCTCTGTAAAAAATCAATAAAATATATTTAAAAAAATAAAATTAAATTAATGAGTGATTCTCAAACTGAGTGAGATAAACATTTTCTGGGAACTTGTTACAAATGTGAATTTCTGGGCTCCACTTCTACAGATCCTGATGTTATATGTCATTGATGGGTCTTCCAGTCTCCATATTTAATAGATATTGGAGTTGATTCTTTGGGCCATACTTTAAGATACAGTACTTTAGATGTACTGAAACATGACACACTATTCTTGGCATATTTAAAAAAAATATATATATTTTTATTGATTTTTTACAGAGAAGAAGGGAGAGGGATGGAGAGTTCAAAACATCGATGAAAGATTTTTTCTGCACACTCCCCACTGGGGTTGTGTCCAAAACCAAGGTACATGCCCTTGACCAGATTCGAACCTGGGACCCTTCAGTCTGTTCTTGGCATATTACTTATGATTCCCTCTATCTTCTTCAATATGAAAACTGATGTTTGTCCACATGGCCCCCACACAAGGGACTAATGGACTGCAACTATTATAACTTAATGCCAAACCAGACCTGGCTGTAACATGGAACAGAAACTCTGGTCACTGGCTTTGCTTTTAGCTTTACTGTATTTCCAGCTACACTTCTTTTAGGACTGGATTAAGGGAAAGGGAACTTTGGAAATCCAGGGATATAATTCCACGCAAATAAAATCACTCTCCTTTCATGATTTTTATCAGGGGAGTTTCAGAAAATTCTTTCTCTTGGGATATCGTAAAGACCTCCCCAATCCCAGCACTCAGTGGGAAAAGGGATACTTCAACTCCCCTGGTAACAAAAACACATATATCTCCCCCTCTTTTTCCTAAGCTCCAAGGGCCCTTCTACTACTTCTTTAACTTTCTAAATAAACTTTCCCTTATTAAAAAAAAAGAAAAAAAAGGGCAAGTCCAAGTTTCCTGAATGCACTAATTTGTCATGGTGCTGTGTTAGGCTTTTAAAAGTAGTTTCCCAGGATTCTCCTTGAGAAGAGAATTCTGTGGTAACACATGTGTGAGAAATACTGCATTTTCTCTCCCCACGTGGAGTTAGTAATACATGCTAGTATGATGAAAGGAGGACTCAGGCAGTAAAGAAATACTTTAATTTTGTTTAACCCTTTTAATAAGATACCACACAGTTTGGAAAGTGTTTGCTTTTTTTTTTTGCGTTTGCACAAGAGAGTGTAAGTTTAGCTCAGTACTTTTCAAACTGTAGATCTAGGACCAGCAGTTTCACCATTTCTTTTGGACTTCAGTGAAAAGCAAATCCTTGGGCTCCACTCCAGGGGCACTGAATCAGAAACTCTGTAAACGAGGCCCAGCAACCTGCATTTGAACAAGTCCTGCAGCTGCTCAGATGCCCGCTGAAGTTTGAAAACCACTAGGCGAGACTAATTCATTAATTGAAACCACAGCGACACTTCTATAACTGGACTAAGGGAAATGGGACTTAGGAAACCCAGGGAAGTAATTCCCCGGAAATAAAAATCCCTCATCCTCCTGTGTGAATCTGAATTGGTGAGAAAATCATTTGTACTGGGAAGGGGATCATTTCATAACGTTAACAGGTGTGGTATTCACATTTGGTGTTCACTAAAATGCAGATTCATGGACCTCACCAGCCCCCAGAAGACTCTTTGCAGCTTGTCATCAGAATTAGCTTCCCACAGGCTCCCACAGATGTGCAGAAGCCACTCCCTGGTCCCCTTGATGTTTGGATTTTGAAAAATCAAATGTTGAGGGACTTGTGCATCTGTCAGCGAGGAGGCCTGAACAAAGGAGGGTGGGATGATACTATTTGCTAAAATGGTCTCTTTTATTTAAATGTAGGCATAAATTCTATTTGTTACAAAGTGTATGCATGCTTTATGGATGAATGAATTAAGTAGGTGGTTAATCTACAAAGTTCAGATTTATGCAAAGCCAAGCATTCCCGATTCCAAGACATTTACTCAATTGTCACACCCATTCTTGGGACACAGTGGAGTATATTTTTCTCAGAAAGTGCCTGGGCCATTAGAACAAACCTCTGGATGCGGCCTGACCAGACAGAGCAATTCATCAAACTAGTTGTATGGAATGTCCCTAGATTGGAATTATGGCAGCAGTTTGCTGGGCAGAATGCCTTTACCTCTTTTGGGGATCTTAGTGATACTACTGTAATGAACTAGTTATTAATAACAAGAAGGAGCAAAGGGAAGACCAAATATTATAGGTATGTCATTTGGGCAGCTTCATGATGGACTGATGAACTGCTGTTAGCCTGATGCTGAACTGGGTCCAGATCCAACATGGAAAGAAAACTCTGGACACTAGCTCTGCTTCTAGCTCTACTGAAACCACAGTGACACTTCTATAACGGAACTAAGGGAAATGGGACTTAGGGAACCCAGGGAAGTAATTCCCTGGAAATAAAAATCCCTCATCCTCCTGTGTGACTCTCAGAAAATTCTTTTTCTTGATGTATTATAAGGACCTCATCCCCAGCACCCAGTGGGAGTGTGGACACCTCAATTTCTCTGATAACATTAGTATCTTAGGAAACAACCCTTTGAAGAAATTAAAAAGTATGACATTATCTTGAGCCTATTTTGAAGAACATTGAGGCCATTTAAGCAACTGAATTTTGTGTCCTATCTAGTAGAAAGTGTCCTGAGATGGAAAATCCTTGTGGAGTTAACCCAAATATTATTGAGCATTGTTGGATAAACAGATAAATAAAACTGAGGTCAAAACATATTTATAGAAAAGTCAAGGGTTCAGCTACTTAAGTATTTCCAATGCTATCTTGAGAATGATAAATAGAAAAGCAATCATTTTTTTGCACACACAATGCATGGTTGTATATTAACACACATAGTTATGATCCATGCCACTTTTTTTGCCTGTATTTTTAACCCCCCCAAAAAACAAACCAGCAACTTTAATGCAATATTCCAACCCGAGAACAGTTAACTTCTACAACAAAGTGCCATCATTTTGATAGCTGTATAACAAGCTGCACTTAGGAAATAAAGGAATATTTAGTGTTTCAAATTTTTAAATGCAGGCCTAATTAACAAATAAAAGAGTTCTTGAGTGTACTTGAAATATTCTTATAACTTCACTTTAAAATCTATATATATATACTAAGTAGCTAGATTATTATGATCTCTGAATGCATAATAATCTGGCCACTCAGTGTATATCCTAAATGCAAATTTTCTCATTGACCAGTTTGACCAGCAGGCACGCTGGCCAACTGCCTATGTCCCCTTTTCCTGGCAAGGCTGGCCAGACCACACCCATGCATGAATTCATGCACCGACCTATATATATATATATAATAATACACACACACACACACACACACACACACCCTCTGAGTGGCCAGATTATTATACGTTCAGAGATCATAATAGTCTGGCCACTCAGTGTATGTATAATCACTATTGCACTGATTAATAAATGCTGCTTATCTAATTCTCATACTCATAGCTTAAATAAGTGCCAAACCAGGGACAGGAACATATTTTGGGGCATTAACAAAGTTTTTCTTCCCTTGAATTCCTTGCACTCTCTGCCCCTTTTCCTGTAAAAACTAAAGTTTTTCACTTTCGTTGCCTTGAAAAATGGATGATGCAGAAGCTTGCAGATAAGAAAGGAGTCAAATTTTTAGTATGTGCTTTTCAAAGGCCTAGGTTTGGGCATTGCTAATAGATTTGGAAAAAAAGAAAAGTGAGCTTTGCTATTTTTTAGGCTAGACAAGAAGCATGGACCAGTGAAGGAGAGTAAAAGGGTCTTCTTTCCCTTCCTTCTTTCTGGGCTGAATCTGGGGGAAACCATAAACTCTAACCTTATTACTTCTGTAAGACTCTATTTCCATATACAGTCACATTCTGGAAGTCTAGGGGGACATGAATATTTAGCGGATACTAACCTACTGCACCACCCAAAATGTATTAGAAGAGGTTTCCATCTCCCCTATGGATTATGGACATATTAACATGGAAACAGAGTGACCTTACTACTTCTATTCTGGTCAAGGGCACATGCCTGGGTTGCAGGCTTGATCCTCAGTGTGGGGTGTGCAGGAGGCAACCCATCAATGATTCTCTCATCATTGATGTTTCTATCTTTCTCTCACTCTCTCTTCCTCTCTGAAATCAATAAAAATATATTAAAAGAAAAAAAAAAAGAAACAGAGTGACCAATGTATTCATCCTTTTCCAGTAGACAAGGCTGCTAAAGTGCAGAGCAGATGAGGGCTATTCAAAGAGAGTCTATAGAGGCAAGGCATCAGAACTCTCGCCTTATGGTGGAGTAAGTAATACAACCTGCCAACAGCAAGGGCATGAGGTGGGGTGTTCTAACTGCAACAGGGAACTTTCTTTGTACAGCCATCCATTTATAATGTAGAAAAAGGAATGCTAGCAAATTGTAATCTGGAAATGCAAATGGTTCCTTTAATAACATTCAGGTATAGCAAATAAACTCCTCAGCATATAACAATTTAATGCTACGTTAATAATTTAATTTTACTACTAAGTACTCAGTTTAAAATAGATATAAATGATTCCTAAATGAGAGACCTCACATTTTTGTAATATTTCCTTTGGTAAATACCCAGATGTATCTCTGAAGTAGCTGAGAATATTAACTGAAAAAAGTAAAAGGTCCCTCTTTTTGGATTTATCATTGTCACACCTAATACTGCT